AGGTAGGCACTGGAACTGCGTACCTAATTAATATATCCTAGCCGTGTTTGGGCTTGTTAGAATTGTTATAAGATGCACTTTGGCTGTAAGGTACTATTGAACTGATGTGATGATGAAGCTGGAAGGTTGGCATGGGGCCTAGTATTGTGTAAGCTTATTAGAGCTGTCAAGAGCAATGGAAAGGGCTATGCTCATAGTTTCCGTGCATGTTCGAATCAGAAATGAAGAAATCCGCAGAAGAACCAGCGTCACCGACATAGCCCGAAGAAATGCCAAACTTAAGTGACAGTGGGCACGGCACATTGCTCGTAGAACAGATGGCCGATGGGGCCGAAAGGTTCTAGAGCGGGACCGCACACCTTTGGGGGCGGAGTTTGGCCTAGTATTGGCTATTTTGCATTAGTCCACGTGGACTGCGTTTACACATTAGTGGTGAAATGCGTCATTGTGTTCTTATCGTTTTCCTGGTAATAGGCTAAGAGAATTCATTGGCATTTTTAACAAAACAGTCGTTTTAAATGGGTTACAAAACAATAATTGCGTCGTACAAAACAATAATTGTGTTTCTTTTGTGTGCACATATGTAGATAATACTTACTTAAAAAAGGTTCATACATTGAATGACTCATAAATGTATATTTACAATAGCGATGGTCTTTTGTATTTTTACCAACTTGTCTATATATGAATGTTCTTAGTAATAACAAAATAGTATTCTTCATTTAATGGGTTACAATTGATACAAAACAATAATTGCATCGGTCTTTTTTCTATGTACGAATGTATTTAATCATAGATACTAAATTAGATTGCATTTGGTATCTTTGAACTTTATCTGTCTGTTGATGAAAATATCTAGTTTTTTGTTATTTGGCGAGAACTAATATGAATTTATGATAAGATTATTATTTTTTTTTAACTATAAGTCATAAGTATCTCATGCATCATATCATCTCTCCTCGAGATCAAAACGATTACACAGTAACAATGTACTATGATATGTATTTCTACGTATAAGTATGACATTGGTAACTTTTTCAAAAGAAATGTAGGAACGATATTGACTTCTTTGCCATAACACATTATAATAAAAAAAAACACTAAACGGCTACAAATAAAAAAAATTTTACAAAATAAAAAACCGCCTTCAAAAAAAGTCAAGCAATAAAAGTTCCTACACTAAAAAGTAAAAAATAACAATTTGAATTACTGTAAAAAAACTTAGTTTATAGGTAAACTTATTTGACATTAATATTTTGCAAATATTCAAAATTTATTACTTATTTTTGGAGTCGGTGCCAGCCCATGCAAGGAAATACAAATGGGCAACAATCCCTTGAAAAACTACCTCTTACTTAATTATAAAACTACTTAATACCTATTTGCATACTCAAATATAGGTATATTAATTAAGACATAAATACAGATTAGACTTCTCTACAAAAAATGTCCGATTTGCACATTTTTTTTAAATAAAAAATATATACTTACAAAAACATTTTAAGTACATTGAAAATGTTTAAGCATTATGTACGAAAAATGGCACCGGATATTAAAAAGCTAACTAACATTAAGTTTCAACATTAAAATGCTGGCACCGACTCCAAAAATAAGTAATAAATTTTGAATATTTGCAAAATATTAATGTCAAATAAGTTTACCTATAAACTAAGTTTTTTTACAGTAATTCAAATTGTTATTTTTTACTTTTTAGTGTAGGAACTTTTATTGCTTGACTTTTTTTGAAGGCGGTTTTTTTATTTTGTAAAATTTTTTTTTTCAATATTTTCCATAGTCTTACCGAAGACAGAATTGTTCATTAATTTAAAAAAGTCTTTTTCAAAGTTTGATGTAGCTAACGTTCTTAAATTAAAGTCTATGTATTTCTTTAACCAAGAACTCTGTTTAAATTTTAAAATTCTATGAACATACTTTAATTAATTTAATCCCCATTTCAATGCATTGTTTTAAATTCCTGTAGTGAATGATGTATTTATTTTTATTATTTAAATTAGGAACTAATTTAGTTTCTTTAGTATTACCCACACATATGTTTTCAGGACACAACGGAAAGTCAGAATGCAAATTATGAAGTTCATCAGGATATTCCAAATCAACTTCTAAAACATAACCGAAATCAGAGTTATCCGATACATTGTAATCTGTATTAGAATCAATCCATTCGAAACCACCAACAGGAAGAGATTGAGACATTGCCCAACCGTATAAATTATTTGCATCAAAATAGGTTAGGTATGAATTAGGTTTTTCACTATTATAATCTTCCATGAATTTATTATTTGCTCTAGCAAAACGATTGCTACACTGAGATACACCCCCTCTAATACCAGCTTTAAAAAAAGCAATTTTGTCATAGTCCGTTAACAATTCTAATTCTATTTTGGTAAATTTTAACATTGCATCCCAACTTAAACCTGGGGCAGTATAGTAATGAGCAGGATCTAAATCCATAAGTTTTAATACAAAGCTTTCTAAAGTTTTCAAATACATCAGTCAAAAGTAAAACATCAGTTTTTAAATATAAATTGGAATAATCAGACATACTACTACACTTAAAATGTTACCAAATATCTTTTGCATGATTATAATCATCATTTGAAATATTTGAATCTGTGAGTGAACTTTAAAATTGGTGTTGATCAGGAAGTGATGGATGTTTCAAGCAATCACTATTACACATAAATTCATAAGGATAAATACCTTTCCGTCTTAAACGTGAAAAGCCTTCATTATTAGGATAGTTCCTTTTTAGTTCTGTAAACTGATCATCATTAAGATTTTTAGCTAGTTGATCTAAACTAGACGATAAAAATTTCAATGAACCTACGAATCTTAAACTTACCGGTTGATTATTTATTGTTAACTGTTTTGAAAATGATATGTATCGTTCTTTATTTTGTGGAATAACTTCAACTTTGTCATCATCGAAGTTTAATGCATGGACAATGAAATGAGCATCGTAGTGACTGAGGTTATGTAAGAATATTGGGATATGACGAGGGGTTCTGTACTTAGAACTACACACATGCATTGATGTGCAACACCCCTAAAACTGCCAGTGTGCCAATCAAAATCGTAAAAAAGATCTTCATTTACCTCAGTTTCACAAATATAACATGTGTTTGAATTTGAAATTTTAATTTTATCTTCATCTGATAATGGAACGGGGCATTTTTGGAAACTATTTTTTTTAACTATTGTTTTCACATCTTCACAAAGGCGATTCATAAACACTTGTGCACAGTTTGACCCACTATACGTCTCATATTTTGATAATCTGTTATCATATGAACATTTAATATAATATCCAAAACTATACACTTCATGTTTTTGAATATTAATCGTACTTGGCTGAGATGGATCGTTACTACATGATTCTATTGGATTCAAAAATGCCTCAAAGTCTGCATAAATCACAAAGGGCATTTCCAACTTTTTCACGAATTTGTCAAATTTTATTTTATTATTTGAGGTCGGTTTACCAAACCAATCCTTTTTGGAATACTCACCGTTTGGTAATTCCGTACAAATGTGAGCGCAATCATATTGTCGATAGCTATTAAGTCTTTCCTCTGATGGGAAATGAAGTAGGTAAACATGAATCACATATATAAACTCTCAATGTTGTCTTGATATTTGTGAACTAACTAATCGCGATAAGTTTTTAATATAACAGTAATGATTTTTAATACCATTCGATATATATAGTAGGTTAATATGATTAGGTGTACGACATTTTGTTCAATATAAAGGACCTAATAATTCTGTTGGAACACTTTTTTTCTTTATTAGGTAAGCCAAAAACATTAATATATATTTTTCATTATATTGTTTAATTTCTCAACTTTTGATATATCTGCAATTTTAACCGGAAAAGAAATACCAGTAAATTTTAGTTTATTTCCATGAATTGCGTAAGATGCTACCCGATCTACACTTTTACATACAAGATATAAACCAGAGAGTAATGCCCATTTGCTGGGTCAAATGATGTAAAGTTTAAAGTTTGCATTACGAACGCAACTCTTATTGTTCGAGGAGCACGAATTAATCCAAGTGTATTACTCGCTCATCAGAAAGTTTTAGCTTCTACCACTGCTAAATATCCTATTACTCGTGCTGAAGTTAAAGTTTTAACAATTCCATCGGGTGTTCAAGGAAAAACTCTTAGGACAGGTACCCAAAAGATGTATTATAGGTTTTGTGAATAATTCTGCATTTAATGGTTCACTAACTAAAAATCCATTTAACTTTGAAAATTATGGTATTAACTCTTTCAGCTTATATATTGATGGTCAACAAATACCATCCAAAGCTTTGCAACCATCTTTTAATAATAATATATTTACATCAGCATATCATACTCTATTCTCGGGGACTGGTATTCACTTTCTTAATGAAGGAAATGCAATCTCACGTGAACAGTATGCCAAAGGTTACTGTCTTTTAGCATTTGATTTAACTCCTGATTTATCAGCTAACTCATCAGCCCATTGGAATCTCATAAAGCATGGTAGTGTAAGATTAGAAGTACGATTTGAATACTCACTAACACAAACAATTAACTGTATTGTTTATGCTGAGTTTGATAATATTATTGAAATAGATAAAAATAGAAATGTTACTGTAGACTATAGTAGTTAGGATTATAATGTGTATTGTGTTTTAGATATATGTGTTACGTTTAATGCATTTTGTGTGTGTAACTAAAGGTAACATTATAAAATTTAATAAAACAAAATGTATGCAATGTACTATTTTTTATTTATTTATAAACCTTCCCCATTTAATCTTATACAATATACTACTTATAATTAAAGTAGAGAAGAGAGTATCCGAGCATCATCATACGATGAATGGAACAGTTCACGCTTCTCCATTTCATCACAAACTTTTATATCATTAGTTAACATATACTATTAGTTTATCTATGTTTAGTTTATAAACATCTTTAGAATCCTTTATTTGTATTAATATGACTAGTCCACTAATGAGTGAGTGTTATTGTTAAAAAAGTATTTTTTTACTTTTTCACTTTCTGCTATTGTCTTTGTAATATTGTATACGAGACCGTTTGTGTTGTCGTAGATGCTATCCTTATAATTCTTTACGTAATATTTAATCCTCGTGGTAGCGTGCTTCCAGTGATCACTAGTTGGAATCTTGGATAGTTTCTTCATATCATACATTTCAATTTTTATGAGATGCATCGCTTGGCCTCCGTCGTCAGAATTTGTAGAGATGTATGATACGCTATCTTTAACAGCTCGTGCCACAGTCGACGATAGCAGCTTCCTCCTTTTTATTTTTGGTGCCACTTCAAAAAATGTATCAATCGGTTGCGATTTCCTTTTTCCATCATCGCCTGTGTTATTAACAACGATGTCATCACTCTCTTCTTCGTGTTGGGGAGAGAGAGGCGAGTAGTAATACTGTTTATAGGTATTTACATTATCGTCTGCGAAGCTGAATGATCTCTGCAACAACAGAGTTATCACGTTAATATCAATTTGATTAATCTGACACACACACAAGTAAGTTTGTCAATAGAATAAACACTTACCTCCATGATGCGTTGAAGTAGGTAACACAAACATAGTATTGGTAGACGTATACAATTCACTGTGGTCAAACGACCATACACTGATTGCATGACTTCTATTGTTCCATCATATATAGTCCATTCTTATCTAAAACATGACACACACATACACATCCCTAAGTACAACGAAACTCTATGAATCAACAAACTTATCTCACATCACCACAGGCATGAACCTGTTTTGTGACTAACACAAAGAATGCGATTTAATATTTACAAATCACTATCATTGAACATTCCTATGACAACCATTGAATAGATTGATACTGTAATAATCTGCTAATAACAGTAATATCATGGATACACTAGAATTACAAAAACATATGAAAAAGATTCATTCCAGTCTAGAAAATAATGTTTATGCTGCTAATAGACTACCTATGTACACACATGTACCAACGTATATAATATGCAATTTGGATGCGGATGATAAACCAGGGTCACACTGGGTAGCCATACATATCGATACAAATGGTATCGGCCAATATTTTGATTCATATGGACGAACACCTGAGCGATATCATCTTCAGTTTTTGAAGAGGAATTGTAAGAGGTGGGACTGGAATGTTGATAGGATTCAGAATGATTGGACTTCGGTTTGTGGCGAATATTGCTTAATGTATTTGCTATTTAAGTTTCAGGGATGTTCAATGCATAGTTTTACGAACATATCTACAGGAAACACGCTGTACAATGATAATTTAGTGGATGAGATGTTCCACTCATATTTTGTAAAATGAAAGTAATAAAATTTCGAAATAAAAATGAATGATTGTGTTTTATTGATGATATAGAAAATCAGACAAAATGAAGTTAACAATAAGGGTTTACAATGAGTAATAGATAAGAACGCCAAAGCAACCGTAATGAGAGAGTTCGAAGCACAATAGATAATATAACGATAGGCGAACAATGAGACGTTAAGTAATGTAACGATAAGCAAACAATGGAACGTTAATGAGGGTTCAGAAGCTTCAGTGATTTTCATAACTCCAGAACCACGCATCCTACGCTAAAACGGACTGCAGAAACGTGATCAGAGCATGCCAAAACCTAGGATAGCATACCAAACTTTTTTTTTTTTTTTTTTTAGGTTTGGTGCCACTCAGATTTTAGATTCCGGGTGATTAGCTGGTTCTGGCGCGTGCGCTAGAAACAGCGATTCACCACTACTAACGGTTCCCTTTCAACTTTTCAGTCACTGGCGCCACTTTCAAACTTCCTCTAATATACTCATTTCTCACTTTATCCATTCTCGTCACACCACACATCCATCTCAGCATTCTCATCTCTGCTACATGCAATCGCTTTTTACTAGGAAAACTTGTGCTCGTTTGCTTTATTTGAAGTGTTTTAAATGTAACCAATTCGGCCATATTGAATGGGCTTGCATCGACTCCAAAATCCAGTACTCCTGCATCCGCGGGGGAGTTTGGTAAAAAATAAACTAGTCATGAAGAGAAAACACCCATAATTTAAGATTTTAAAACTTACATAGATCACGACATGTGTCGCGTTCTTCGACGGGTTGTGGCGGGCGACACTGGTCTGCCCAGCGCTGAGCTTCACGAGCCAGCTCCTCAACCCAATGCTGTTAAACAATAAAATAATAGATTACACCTGTTCGTGAATAATCTAGGCATTAATTACATTATCACTGATAAGTACGAGTATGTACTCTGAATGAATAATAGAAGATGAAGATATAATAGAAGAGTGAGATTGAGATGAGAGTGAGATTTGCTTAGTTCATGAAATGCCCAAGGATATAAATTATGTGTTTGGCCAAATCGTATAATTGGCTCAAAGATGCAGCGTTCGGCGGTCAATAACAAAAAACCATAGAATGAGACTGCAATTGAATAATTTACGCAAAAAATCTAACTTTCTTTACGTTATACTTTTTAAAACATACTTGAAAAAAGAAAAATAACTCATATGGTACCGGATATATTAATATTTCAAAGCATATCCTACCATTTTCATCATATTTGCAGCTGGAGGGAACCCCTTCATAATGCCAGCTGCTGCATCTCTTCTGAAGCCGTTAATCCGATCCAAGATCCTCTTCTTATCGTTTGACCCGAGTCTGGCGTATAAATAACCTTCGCACTTATCACTAGGGCCTTCCTGTGTGATGCATGGAATATCTCATTATAGCTTCCTAAACAAAATGTAGCTGGAGCCCAACAACTGAAGCGGGTTTGGTGGTGTGCAAGTGTACAGAATCAGATTTATTTTAATGGTATATATAGTTCGGGAAACGAGCAGACTAATTACCTAACGATGAGCAATCAGCGCCGCTCATGGACACTTACAACACCAAAAGAATTACGAGTGCGTTGCCCACCTTTTTGGGATAAGGGTTTCGGATATATGAGTATTGGGAAGGGATGCAGGGAGGGGGAAGGATTGGGCCTCTGGTAACCTTACTCACACGGCGAAACACAACGCCGTAGTTATTTCATGCCGCGCGCCGGTTTTCTGTGAGATCGACCCATTAGTGCCGAAGCTTGGCTATCCCACACTTTTGATTGACGGAAAACTAACTTCTTTCGCTATCGATCCCTATAAAATGAAGGTTTTCATAATCAACTTCAATGTAATTGTGAAAAATCTAGGCAAAACATATTTACACTTCTTTCCCTTTAATTAAAGATACAAAACTAAAAAGATAACAAGTGGAAACTTTGCAACATCGTTTTCAAGCGAAAATCTCGATAAATATGTTGTATACTTTACAACTTACAGGATACTGGCAAAAAGTGTGATTATCCGTGTTTCCACACATTCTGGCGCCGCAGTAGTTGACGGAGCGGGCAGCAGTGAGCGCCAATACGCCGGACAACACGACCACTAGGCCGAGCATTTTATCTCGATAAACAATTAATTTTCTACATATCAATCAAAATGTTTGTAAATTCTTCAGTCAGACACGATGCCATTGTGTCTCCCGTAGATGTTTGACAAGTGACAGCTTTCGTTCCTTGTTTGTCATGTACGGACGTGAAAGATTTGGCCAAAGAGTATAAGATTTGTTGAAACCTGCTTTCTTAATTCTTGTTTTGGCAACGTTGCTAGCTCTCTTTGTTATCGCAGAATCTTGAATTTGAAGCATTGTTACTGTTAAGGTGCTCCCACACAGCAGTTATATAACGTTAGAGACTGACTTTTTTAATGAGAAAATCCGATTTCTGAACTGTTCATTCTTAAAAAATCGTTCAAACAGCCATCAAGGCCCAAATCTTCCAAATATTCTTGTTCTCTCGCTTTCAGAGTTCGACGCATCCAGTAAGAGCGCCTTTTCTTCTTTTTTTCAAACAAAAAATAAACGCCAAACCTATCAGCACTTCCTCCATTATAACACAGTTTATAACATATAACATTTCTTAACATGTTGTAGAGTATTGTTACACGCTGTTATAAAGGTCACAATGTTGTATAACGTTATTGAAAAGGAAAAGGAGGGATGAAAAGCATGTTACAAAAAGAGTCATGAGTATAAATGTGGATGGATGGAGAGGGAGGGGGAGACCAAAGAAAATATGGATGGATTGTGTGAGAAGTGATATGGAAGACAGAGGAGTTAGCGATAGCGTGACGAGTGACAGGACAGAATGGAAGAAAAAAACATATTGCGCCGACCCCAAATAAAACGGGACAAGGGCAGGAAGATGATGATGATGATGAATGTTGTATAACGTTATATAACTGCTGTGTGGGAGCACCTTAATAACAATAAAACAATGAAACATGACGGAAATCGACTTTACGACATTTTTCACGGCTAGCTGCCGTGAAAAATGTCGTAAATTCGATTTCCGTACGGAACGACTACTTGTGTGATCCACAAATTGTTGTTCCGGCTCAGGGTATGATGTGAAGAAATTGTATGTGTCTCATCGCATCCACGACATACAAGAAAACCGTAGTGTGAGGCAACGTTTAAAAAAAAACGGTTAAGGGCTTATTTTTCAATGGTTACATAAAAGTTTTCTGGGGAATAATAATTATGATGCTGTCGCGTCAGAATGTTTCTATAAGACAGTGACAGCAACAATTTTACTCCTCAGATAACATTTATCAGACTTGGAAAATCAGCTCTAAAATAACCCGATAAATAAAACGAACCAAACAATAAAATACAACATTTATTAAAAACGAAACAGTCATATATTAAAGGGAAAATACATCTAAAATATACCTAAAAAATTACAAACACAACGCTAAAACTATCACAAGAGACGGGATGGCACGGCTAGCTGTACTAGAATAATCCTTTGGTGAATCTGACAAAGAAGGCATGAATTGTAATAAACTGTACAGTGGATTACCACCTTTCGATTCTGTACTTGAAATCACTTTATTTACACGCGGCGTTGCTTGCTCCGTATCGCTACTACCGCGAAGGTCTCTTCGTACCTGGTGCAGGACAGTTTATTTCATTAATGAAAACACGTAATTAAGCTTTTTTAAATCAAAATTAGTTCTGCAGAATATTGATAGTGGTGTAATTTGCAATTTAAGCAATTAAGCGTCTCTCGGTAAGAGTTACTAGTTAACCTAAAATTTGGAAATCCGTAATACTACGTATCCGTAATATCATTAAGAATAAAATAGAGCTAATTTGCATTGGTATAGGTTTTTACTATATGATGTAGACACAAAGCCTTATAGATGCTTGGAAACGCTAAAGGAGAACTCACAAGACAAGTTTGTTACTTAATCACGCCAAAACAGCTGGATGGATCTCGATGAAAATTGGCAAAAGCATAGGATACACTTCGAAATAGGACATAGGCTACTTATTATCAACATACCACGCGAGCGAAGCCGGGGGCGAAAGTTTATAAAAAGTAAAACGTCCTTACCTTTCCTTGTTTCTCTTTTTTTTGTGCCAAATCATGTTCACTATGTTCTAAGGCCTCTTCCAGTTGTTGAACCGTTTCAGCTGTGAACAATAAACAACTATTACTGATTTGAACATTCTAAAACCTTCAAATTCCAAAGTAAGGTCTTTTTCTGAGGGAAAAATCATCAAAAGACTTTTCTCGCCCAGGGTGAAAAAATCCCCCAGTACTTTCTCCTGCTCTAGGCGAATAGGTGAGTTAAGATAATATTATTTAAAAAAAGAAAAGAAATCCAAATAATAATTAAAAATTACTCCTAGTCGTCTGCTCTTCTTTAAACTTACGGTCAATGGGATCATTATAAAAATATTCCGTCAAATTGCTGAAATCTGGACGTTTTTCAGTGTCATCGTCTTCACCGTCACCGCTGCCGCTACCGCTACTGCTGCCGCTACCGGTCTCACTATCACTCGTGTTTGCATCATCCAGCTTATTAACACTTGTACTACTTAATACATCATCGAAATAAATTTTCGATGACGCAGGATACAAATATGTAATATCTTCCATTACTTTAGGATCTACAACTGTAACACGATCGCTATTAGAATCACTCAAACTTCCGTGAATTTTATTATACACAACCTTATCTTCTTCGTACACACCCGTGAAACTAAGATCTTCGTAATCAACAGCGTTACTTGGACCTTCGGACACACCAGTGAAATTTAAAACTTGTGTATCATTTAACAAAACTTTTTCGTCATGACTGGCTGTCTCAATCAATTCATTTTTATCATGAAAGTCGTAATTGTCCTTTTCTTTCTTAAGTATTTCTTCAATGAGTTTGACATCTGCAAATATATGATCTCGGGTAAATAATTTGTATATTATTCAGTTATTCTTTTAAAATTCAACTTACTCTCTGTCTTTTCTATAAAATTAGCTAAATCTTCAATGTTGTAAATTTCTGGTCCTGCGATCCAACTTAGTTCAGATTTTGTTTGATTAATTGTTGTAACTTCTGTTGACGTTTCTTTTTGCAATGGTGCAGTTGTGTTTTGAGTAGCGGTTGAAGTGTTTTGCACGATACTATGGTTTTGTGTTGTTATCACTTGAGGTTCATATGCAACTGTACTATCATTGTCGTGGAACTTAATTACACTAACTATATCAGCAACTTCTCTCCTTTGCTTCGAATTGAAATATGTTTGTGTAGTAAAAGCATTTATTCGCCATTCGTTGTATGTATTCGCCATCGTTGCTATAGCCAGTTTGGTTAAGTAAATCTCATCTATACTACCTAAATAGTTTAAAGTCTCATTTTCTTCTATTTCTAATATAGTATTTAAAAGTAAATGATCTTCGAGCGTCGTAGATGGGTCGAACGGTACATTATCGTTATGGCTTCGTTCTGAAATTGTGGCTTATGTTTAAGAAAGAAGAAAATCATCAGCACCTTGTGATTTTTTTTCTATATTAATAGAACAAATGCATTATCTCTAAATTATTATACATGGTTATGATACTAACGGTAATCGCACAGATTAGGCCATGTTGAAGATTGCGCTGAACGGTATGGGCATGCAGCAGTAGGTGAGGCAGGGGCCCATAAAGGGCGCGTCGGCTGGGGCCCAAACGGCGCTATATTACAGACTAGACGCTCCACACTTCGAAGGCGACCTTGCCAAGGCGTCTGATAAATAATGTAAAATAATAATGATGATGACTGAGGATGTAATGTGTAATATAGGACAAAATCGTTCAGCTTATTCCGTTAATTTTAAAATTACTGAAATGAATTAATAACGTGGGGACAACTGAAGGAGAGCCATGCTTCGGCACAAATAAATGGGTCGGCTCGACGGAGTCACAGAAAACCGGCGTGAAACAACCACAGCGTTGTGTTTCGCCGTGTGAGTGAGGCTACTGGAGGCCCCTTCCTTCCCCTCCCCCATCCCAAAATCTCTAGATCCCTAATCCATCCAGAAAAGATGGGCAAAGCACTCGTAACTCCTCCGTTGTTCTGGGTGTCATCGGACGGCACTGATTCTTGCCATCAGGTAATACGTCTGTTCGTTTGCCGTTCTACCAAATAATAAAAAAATACTTAATAACACAATTCAATACACTTACCATAAACCGACTGCGACCACAGCCCACCATGTAACTCTTTGCCCAAATTATTTGAGCAAAATCACCGTAGTATTTGCCACCATTGCTAGGACTGTAAACAGATAACTTACTTACTGTCCGCTAAAAATACTTAATAATTTTATTCGCACTAACACTACATTGACCGTGATGAATAGTAATAGTTGCAATCAACGGATAGAGAAAGAAATAAAGCCATTTTTATTTAGTACGTAACACAAATCAACAAAAAGTATGAAGGTTCTGACAATTTTACTTATATCTGGTTATGCTAAGAAGCTAGCGGAAATGTCGACGCTCGAATTACTGTAGGTACTTATCAGCTTGACGCTGTACCTCAAGATCAACTTGACTACCCAACTCCGCCAGCACAAATAAGGCCGCATTGCTAACCATCTTATATACGAGCCTTACACGAGAAATCAAAGCCAAACGCTGGCCTTCAAGAAGCTTATAATGAATCCCATAATAGCCCTATCAGTCTAAACAGGTGCCCCGTAGAACACACGTCCCAAGTAGATAGCTCCTCAACGGTCCTGATATACATAAAGATTGTCGTCAACGCTTTAAATGTGTTAGGAGAAAAGAGTGGCATATTCTGGCTGAAAACCAAGCTATTCCACTAACTGCTGAATACCAGGACCTGGTTCCTCTACCAGGGTACCTAAGCTGAGGCAGAAAAAAAAACAATATTAAAACTCACGGCATATAAAAGGTGACATTGCCTTTGTACAGCATGCTTTGTATGTACCAAATGTCGACCATAGACTCCACTCGAAGCCCTGGCGCTTCGCCCACTACCGACGCCACACACTGACCGACTGTCAGCGAATCTGATGGCAAAATATATTTTAAAGCGTCGTCCCACATTAGAATTTCCCTGTCCCAAATTTAACTACACGGCTGGCGCGATGACTGGGCAACTGGCTGCCACGCAACTTGTTGTGGGTCGATTCTCGCACGGAACAACTCTGAGTGATCCACAAATTGTTGTTCCGGGTCTGGGTGTGTGAAGTTAATGCAATCACGAGACGGGCAATTTTTCTCCACACTTGTATTTGTTCCTGTGTTGTGGGTGCATTTACAAACATGGGTACAATTTCACATACACACTTGACACTCAGACACGTAACACCCACTTGTGGATCACACAATGAGTTGTTCCGTGCGGGAATCGGCAGCCGGTTGCCGTACCAACCGTTGCTCCTACGGAAGATTGTAGGGATTTTGTGTCCCTACAATCTTCCGTGTGTGTGTGATTTACCTTACCTAAATTAGCGAAAAATCTCAGTGGTCCTAATGATATTTAACAATTGTTTTTTAACTTTACCCAACACTAGGATTTCCTCCTATATCGTCGGTGCGATAACAAACAAACGATTTTAAATAAACTTCACACCCAGGCCCGAAACAACAATTTGTGGATCACACAAAGAATTTATCCTCCTAAACTCACATGTGGTTCATGGGTTGCATACACCCTACTCTTTAAAAAGAATAAAGACGAGACATTATAATCTGAGTTGTTACTTACATAGATTGCGACAAGCATCGTGTTCTTCGATAGGCCGCGGCGGACGACACTGGTCTGCCCAGCGCTGAGCTTCACGAGCCAGCTCGTCAACCCAACGCTATTAAACAATAAAATGATATGTATTTTATGTTAAAAGTACCATGTTCAACATCACATGTCGTTCAACAATGACACGTAAATATGTACCTAATTTGTCTCCAACACTTGAGAGATAAACACATCGTTTAAACTTAGTGCGTAACTTATACAGAATAGCGAAAATTCTGATGACAGAATTGAATTTTAAAACTCTTCATAAAAAAACTTTAATGACACAATATGTTACATAACTTTGATTATTAATATGTCTAGATGTAGTGTCACCCTACAATCATTACAAAGAAAACGAGTCAACTATTTCAAGCATGTGTGCGTGCAGGCGTCGTCTTACACTGCGCGTCTATGTCTTTGTGTGCGTAAACAATACGGAATAATGATACCAGCTACTACAAATTCTCCCATAAATAACATTAAAAATAGAATAAATAAAAAACTTTAGGGTTGTATGTATGTACCTAGTGATAATCAGTTTTAGTGTATTTTTATAAAGTTGTTGCTGTTTTAACTAAATTAAAGACACTTATTTAATTAAAATTGGGTGGTAGAATGTTGTAATTAAATTAATTAGGTAAATTATACTTGACAAGTATAACAATATTTGTATAAATCGGGACTTATTCGCAATATTATACTTATAACTAAAATGGTACGATACCTTTTTCTTTACCCGACGTGACGTTTCGGCCGAATTGCACTGACCGTGGTGACGGATGGACTCGCCCGAAACGTTGGGCGAATAAAGCGTCGGGGAAAAGGTGTCGCAATAATATTTATATATATCGTTTCAAAAATATGAGGTAATAAAGAATATTACGCTCATACATATACACGACTAGTTGTTTCCCACGGTTCTACTCGCATCGCGCACCCGTATAAAAAGCCTTATGAACCTTAATAGCCTGTATGTTATTCTGATGTATAAGCTATATTACTGCCAAGTTTCATCAAAATCGGTTCAGCAGTTTTTGCGTGAAGGAGAAACAAACAAACATACAAACTTTCGCATTTATTATTATAGTAGGATTTACGCGAGACAAAAAAAACATAACTCTTCTTGGAAGTCGGGTAATAAAGAAAAAAGTCTGTTCAAAAGTTATTATATAATTTATCGCCTTATCTCCGACATTATTAGGCCTAAAATTAAGAAAATATACTACAGATAATATGTACCCATAGATTCTAGGAAAATATACGATTTAAAAAGTGATATTTAAAAAAATGTTTTTGTTGGGAACCCTTTGCACTCGAGTTCAATTTGCATTTGACCAGTAAAACTTTAAAAAGTACATGGACGAAATTGTGTAGACGTAACCAAAAACAAACTAATATTTACCCACAAAAATGCCGTTAAGTTGGGAGAATGAAAAACAGAAACTGGCAACACTGATAAGACGAAAAAATATGGCGTCATTTGGTTAGCATTAAAACAAAAATTTAATATATGTAATTTTCTTGGCTACTTAGTGATGAGAGGTGAGGTGTTTGGTAGTTTTTGCCCTTCCTTTATAATTCCGGCACACTTTTATAGCACATACTGTCATTTTATCGCTGTTATTAGTTTTTTCCTTAGCGCGCGTAATGCGTAGTGACAATACAGCGACACGATATGTACTGATCGGCGGGTAAGCAACTGTCGGCCAACAGTTGGCCGACAGTTTTTGACACGTTTGCGCGCACTTGACGCTCTATCTAGACATATTAATAATCAAAGGTTACATAAATAGGATTTTTTGGAGTACAAGACCTAACCCTTAAAATAAAATGGCATTCAAAATTAAAAAACAAATGCTATTCGTACCAGTTTAAGCATGTTCCCAGCAGGAGGGAAGCCTCGCAAACCGCCGGCTGCCTCATTCCTACGATTGTTGAGCCGCTCTAACAGTCTTGTCTTCTCATCGGGTCCCAGTTTGGCTTCTATGTAACCCACGCAATTTGGGCTGGGACCTTCCTGTGTAATTCACATAATGATTCGTTTCAAGAGTAAAAAGTAAAACCAATTTTGCGGTTATACTAAGTAATTTAATAATACCTATCCGCAAAATTACAAAGATCGAGCTCAGTAGCTTGCTGAAACTAGTAATTTGAGAATAATTTTTGAATACATATTATTGTTAGACATACTAATTTTATCATGAATAATATTCCCAATGTGACTTGAAACTAGAAGAGCTTTTCTCAGTTAATTCGTAAGTACCTAGGTCGTTATTTGTAACTCAAAATCGAGAATGAGGTGTACTTAACGAGCCATGAAGTGTGAAGGGCAATCTATCTCGAAAAGGTACTGAAATTCAATCGAATCCGACTATGGTTTAGAGTCAATCATTATTTACAAACTTGGAGAAATGAGGAAGGAAACAATAACACATATTCACTCTTTCCCCCAAAGATATCGCTTTCGACAACATTCAAAGAATTACAAAATCTTTTATGTAACGATTGTTTAGGGTTTTGGTGCAACAGCAAGCAGTGTTTGATGTTCTATAAGATCTGAAATCGACTAATCCTCTGAATGTGTTAATGACCTAAGTGATCATTACCTACCAAACAAACCATATTAAGTAGAAAAGGTCCAGAATCCAGTTATAAACTGTAGCAATCTATTGCAATTGATGCTATTACTTACAGGGAACTGGCAGAAAGTATGTGCATTCGTATTCCCACACATTCTAGCGCCGCAGTAGTTGACGGAGCTGGCGGCAGCAAGTGCGAGTACACCGGACAACACGACCACAACGCCGAGCATTTTATCACGATTAACAATTAATTTTACACATTTTTCTTTTTACTTATTTTACGCTTAATGTCACCTGTATAATTTTGACAAGTCTATTTCGTTTCATTGTTTATGGTGCGCGGACGCATTTGAAGTTTGATAAATTAAAGTTTGAATTCTAGATTTGTGTAGATTATGTCTGTGATCCACAATCTGAGTTTGTATGGTGTATTTGTAAAGATGTATTCAACACACTAACCTTCGGCTTAAGAATTCGTCTACTACAAATTTTCTCCTTTCGTCTTTCAAATCACTTGATTGGAAGGTTTCTGCATCCAACGGATCCGTGGATATCCTACGTTGCGCTTGCCATTACGTGGCCGCCATTCAAATAACCCCATCGGCCGCCGGTTGTCCAATCTATGTGCCCCCGGTAGGTTTGTATATATAACCACATTTGTACTAACTACGTTCTAAATGACTGGATATACCTACAACCATCAGGTACCTACATTAAGTTAAGTAAGTTGGACGAAAAGATTTCGACGATTGACCTTTTCGAATTAGATCAGGCTTAACAGGTAAGGAGGCTGCGAATGAATTTGATTATCGAACCTTCACGGCCACGTGAGAGACAGGACACCAAGGTTGGGTTTTAGTCAGTAAAAGTCTGACAGTCCCTTGGCTCCTGGCTGGTCTCTTTGTGGCAAAAAAAAGGTTAAACCGGCAGATAGGTATGAACATAGATTATATGTATACCATAAATCGGTATGAATATACGTATTTCTCTTTAGGAGTAAGTCCTCAACTGAGCTTGTAGCGATTGAAATCAAAATGTTATACTCGTCGGAAGTCCCGCTTCTTGACTTGAAAAGCAGAGAAAACTAAGAACCTACTAAGTAAATAAAAATCAAAATAATTTAATTTCCCTTTATTTTTAATATATTGAAACAAAAATATACAACCATCAAAATAACCTCAAATAAATGATCCGTAAAATACTTACTCCATAACGTTACTCCATTTATATACAAAAATCTTTAAAAAACTTAAATAATTCATAAAATTGTGATTATAGCATTATCTGTTCGTTGCTTTGTTTGCTGTTTTTAACACAACAAAGAAAATATTTTTTATTGATGAGTCATAGGTACTTTATATAAAAAAAATATACAAAATCGTCAAATAAGGCACACTGCTGAAAAATGGCAACCAACTTCAACCAAACTTAAGACTAGATGGAAATTATCAATAAAATACTCTCAAATAATATTTGCTAATATACAATATTACGCTCATAAATAATAATTATCAATAAACATGATTTTGATTAAAAACCGTTCGAATTAAGAACCTATTTTTTTGTAGTCTGTTAATGTTACCTAATTACTATTAGCCACCATAATACATACATAAACAAAGAAATACTGAAAAAGATATCATTGCATTTACATTTTTTACATTAACATTATTATCCAATCATTACATATAATATACTATAAAAACAGTTGTTATCAAGTGATTTTTTTCTATATAAGAACCTAATAGTAAAAACCACTTGTTAACAGCTGTTTTTTTATAATGAAATGTAAATAAGTGATTATAAGGAAGACAATACGAAAATATATTACAAGTACACCCTTTACCAAGCCAGAGTGACAGCCTTGAGGCTCCAAATCTTGTCTGTTTACGACGAATTAATTCATCAAACCTCGGGATACCACCATTGAAAGGTTATGAACCAAACCAAATCCAAAATTTTGAAATTAGCCAAATTGGACCATCTGTTCTTGAGTTTAATGCGAATATCGAACAGCAATTCATTTTAATGTATAAGATTTTAATTTTAATCGTAATTTATTTTTATTTTTCTTTAGATTAAGTACCTGTTAAGCCAAATGCAATGACGGGGCTAGCACGATAAAATGCCGCGGCTTCGGCCTAAAGCAGGAGAAGGAACGGGGGTTTTTAGCCAGTAAGTGTCTCGCCTGAACCTGGGCGGGAGAAGTCGACTAATTATTTTCGCCTCACAAAAAGGGTACCTGTTAAGTACCTAGGTATTTACGTGGAGCATTATAAATGTCTGTGATAGAATAAATATGTATATTAGAAAATTAAATTTTATTCATAAGAGTGTCGGCTCGAAGCTTGCCAAGTAATAATGTGACTTAATTTGAAAAATATTGAATCCAGATTAATTATTTATTCCGTTATTGAACCCAGTGATCCTTTGAAGGTGATTATAGTGGAAACCGGAATGTGTTTACGTAAAACTCCTCTTACCTTAGCCTTTCTTCACAAGAGCCTACTCTTAAGAAAACCAGGGCTAGGACTAACATAATTTCCAATTGTCTAAGTATGTTTTTAAAACATTATACATAACAATATATATGTGTAGAGAGTATATATATTATAGCGTAAAGCAAAATATGGCCGCAACTTAAGGTACGTTTTGTGATGTAGACCAAGTTATACTAGTCGTCTGCCTTAGGCAAGTAGTACATGGAGTCTATGAAGTACTTTGTGATGTCTGACACCAAACTCCTGTCCGATATCTCTTGAGCTACGCCGTATATCGCCATCTGAGAAAGAAGAATAATTATCGTGATTGCTAACTCTTAATGTGAATCCTAAAAGAGCCACAGCGTTGTATTTCACTGTATCAGTGAGGAATTACCGGCTGGTGTCCCATTTAACTAATATTTTAATTGTTGGAAGAGATTCTGCGAATTGGCTTCGGCTCCTTGTACGCCGTTCAAAGTTCCAGAACCCGTGAATACAAGCGCCCACATAATAATATGTTATGTATAATCTTTATTCAGAAAGTTCATAAAAACCCCTTTCTATTTTATTATTTCATATATCTGCGTTGCGTTAAAATGTGGTAAGTGGGACAACAAAAAACCTTTTTAAGAACTACTGTGGTAGAATAATTTTTGGGCAACATTAATCTATTTTTTATTTCCTTGTAAGTTCTTTCCTTGTAAGTTTAAGGTCTATTGTTAATTAATCAAACCTCAAGCGAACGCCGGCGTTAGCGCACCGTTTGTTCTTCTATTGTGTCTCCAATTACCACGATTGAGAAGTTAAAGAGAAAAATAAATATTAAAAGTATACCTTGCCCTCGACGGGTGCCTTGGAGTCGGCGAGACAGTCCCGCGCGGCGTCACGCATGTCCTTCAGGAACCGCTCCGACACGCCCGGCTGCGTATGCGCATGGGTTACGCAGATATGTATTCTGGGAAACACAAACGGATTTATTGCTTTAAAATTATAAAATAGGTTGTAGCGACATCTATCACGACAAGCATGCAAAACCGTGGTAATCGGTTCGTGCTTTCTGGAGTTATAACGTCATGAAAGAAAATCCGACTTATTTTTAACCGCCTTCTTATACAGTAGATAACGAATTTAATTTTAGGACTGGGAGCTCGCTACGTCGACGCTATGTAAAAAATATACTATATAAATCGTAATGTCATACCTACTATTGATATGATATTTGAAATCAATGTTCCACCGAAAATTTATGAGTCCTTACTGTACGGGTATTGAGTAGTTAACTCCGTACACTGATTTGTCGTGAAGATTTGTAAGTTGAGTTAGTATAGGTAGAGAAACACTTTTCCACTTAAATAGACACGTTAAGTATATTTATGTAAAAGTAAATTACAACAGTGGAAGGCGATTATTTCTCTTAGTTGTTGATAGCTACTAAGTTGTAAGTTTACTATATTATAATATGTCCGTCATCTCATTTTATTATGCGGCAGTGCGGGGCGCCTCGTTGGCCGAAAGTAGGTTGACGAGTAAGCAAGAAAAATGTACGGCGATGAGACCGTACATATTGGCAACCCCCTAAAGAAGCAAAATTGAGTAGAGAGAGAGAGAAAGAAACGCCTTTACAAAATCAAAAAAATGAGTAAAAAAGTAAAAATAAATGTAAAATAAGTAAAATGAATTAATTAAAAGTAAACGCAATGTTGTCTTGATGTCCTTGACGTTGAACATCGCAACCGTCTGTGGGTGACCGTTGGTTATCTTCTCTGACACTTTGTTGTTGAGATCCCATTGGTTGAAGCTCGATATCTTCATGTATTGGCTTTTTATTTTTCTTCCTTGGAACTCGTGTTTTGAGTACCATGCAGTATTTTCTTGTCATAATCAACAGGAAAGTGATGACAGCAATTGTTAGCAAAAGGTAACAAATTACATATTGATGTACGTCATGGTCTGTGATAGTGGATGGTAGTTTAGGCTCGTGCTCTTCTTGGAACCGAAGCTTTTTGTCAATCTCCGCGAAGTCGTTATTCTTGAGGTGGAACAGATCATGTGGCGTGTTATGTAGTGTCACGTTAACAATGTTGTTTATCGGTGAATTCAGGTGCAGTACGTGCATGTCATAGTTCACATTGAGGTTACTGTTGTACTGATTATGTGAAGTGATGGTGAGATCTTTTGATCGCAGTACGCATCCTTGATCCAAAGTTACTATAGCCGTTGATGTGATTGTCTGCGATATTACGTCGTTATCGCAAACTGTACGTAATTCGCACCTTCCGCAACAAACAACAAGCCAGCTGTTTGATTCATGTAACTTGATCCAGTCCTCCTCGCATGACACGCTATGTACGTCACACGGTGACGTAGAAGTACGGTGACCCAGGAGTTTTGCTTCGCACGGTGCATTTTTGTTATGTAAGTTGAAGACTGGCATGTTAGCGGTGCAAATGAAGTTATGTTTTTGTCCTTTAATACACTGCTTGACATCTTCATCTTTTAATGAGATATAAGAATTCTTTTCAAAGTTTACGGCAATGTACTGTGAAGATAACTGCATCTGTTTGTAATTCGAGTCTCTCTTGAATGGTATAGCAATGGCCCGATAATATGTGAACTCCTCATCCGATATTAAGGGAATGTGAACTTCGAACATAAAGTAGTTCATTGTTATTCTCGCTTTCACGTACAACAACTTGTAAAGTTCCTTAATATCTTCTTTGATATTTTCTGTTGGCAATGACAATGTTCTCGGTAATTTGCCGGCTATGTCTTCTAGTTGTTTTACAAGATTGACTGGTGGTATCAAGTGCACGTCCATATGCCCACTGTATACATTTGTGAGAGTATTCAGAAGCATGGTTTGAATTTCTCTGAGATTTCGTAGCAGTAGGGATGCTGTGAGCGCCGCGGAGTTGAAGTAACTTGTTGCCATCGCTATCTGTATTTCAGTTTCAATGCTGACTAGGTTCGTCTTAGTTTCTTCCATGAACCTTTCTATCATTTTACATTGAAGCTTGATGTTAGCATCGTTTTTCTTCAATACGTCATTTTGCAGTTGCATAATCGACGTTTGATTTTTTGCCAATTCACGTAAATAGTTTTCGTTTTGTTGTATCGCTTCAATGTCTTTGTGGTATTTGTTAGCAAAATTTTGGTCTAAAACGCCGAATAAGCTGTTTGCTATCATGCCCACTCCGTCAATCAGGCCGCGCTTTTTGCGCGATGATAATTGCTTGTGAGGGGCCAGCAGAATTGTATTGTAGAAGTTGAGTAGGTCCATCTCATGGGAAAGTTGATCAATTGTAGGTTTGCAGTAACTTTGGTGGATCTTCTCGCAAAGGCCATACACACCGTTGATGTAACTGTCAATGTGTTGAATGCCGTGCCAGTAGTCAGTTAAATTGTAGTACGTAAGCAACGTCCATTCATCGTGAATCAGTTCAACCTTGCCAACGGTGTCATAATAAATAGGTCTCTCAGGTTCCAGGTTGGTAATTTGAGTGCCTGACCTTTGTTGGGAACCATCTGATCCATTCACAAGTATCAACATTGTGAAAAGAGACATAAATATGTTTGTAAGGCATTTTTTCATAGCTGGTATTCTTGTGGAGGTTTTTTCAGACGTCTCAGCATTTCGTAAGTCTGCTTTACTTTCTTCGTAACCTTTACTGTCAGTGTTGATCGGCAGAATGGATAGTTTTACGATGGGTCGTTTGATAACACCATTTTGGGTTTTTAAGGTTGTCACTCGGACATATCCGTCCGCTCCAGGGTGAAGTTTCAGCACCCGTCCCATGGCCCATTTTCCTGGGGGCAAATTATTGTCCCGGACTAATACGATGTCCCCTTCCCTTAAGTTTTTTCTTGGATTATTCCATTTACTGCGTGTTTGTAGTTGAGAAAGATATTCGCTTGACCAAGTCTTCCAAAACTGTTGGTGCATGTGTTCTGTTAGCTGCCATCGGTTTCTTAGATTTTGTTTGTTTTCATCAGTATAGTCAGCACGTGGTAAAGTCATTGTTGGTCCCCCCGTCAGAAAGTGGCCTGGTGTCAGGTAGTTATAAAATTCTTCGGGGTCTTCAGTGAGAGGGCAGAGCGGCCTGGAGTTCATGCAGGCCTCTATCTTGGCAAGCAGGGTAGTGAATTCTTCGTACGTCAGTTTTTGGTCTCCTAGCACTCGACGAAGATGATACTTCATCGATTTGACCGCTGCTTCCCATAGTCCACCAGCCGTCGGCCAGGCCGGGGCATTAAAATGCCATTGAACTCCCATGCCTGCGATGTTGTTGAAGAAGTCAGGGGACAAGATTTGCTTGAAGTCTTCAAATTCTTTCTGAAGCATTCTTGATGCACCGATGAAGTTTGTTCCGCAGTCTGAGTAGACGTGACTTGGTGTACCACGCCTGGAACACATTCTCTGGAAGGCTGCTATGAAGGTGTCAGTACTTAGGTCCGATACAAGTTCGATGTGCACAGCCTTTGTTGCCATGCACACGAATATGCATATATATCCCTTAGAAGTACGTACTCCTCTTCCTTTATTGAGTTTGACTTCGACGTGTCCTGTGAAGTCAACTCCGGTGTGGGTGAACGGTCGTGACGGTGTTACTCGTTGTGGTGGGAGGTCTCCCATTAGTTGGTTAAGTTCCGAAGGCCTGTGGCGGTGACAGCGCACACAGCGCCGAAGTCCAGCTTTTACAGCTCTATTGCCGCCAATGATCCAGTATCGTTGTCGAATATATGCTAAAGTTAGCCTGGCCCCACCGTGTAAAGTCGTGAGGTGAGCCTTTTGTATCAGAAGTTCAGTAAATCGCCCACCCTTAGGTAGAATAACTGGATTTTTCATTTCAAAGGATAAACTGGAGTAGTTCAGTCGACCCCCAACTCGGATTATGCCTTTGTCGTCCAGATATGGTTTAAGTTTATAAATGTTGCAATTCGACGAAATATTTTCTTTCTTCATTAATTGTTTGTATTCTTGCGCAAGTTCCGTTCGTTGCACATATTTTATTATTAGTTCCTCAGCATTGCTTAATTCGCAAAAACTGAGGCAAACGGTGTCACGTTTTGTGCTATTACGTGCATTTCCGAGAAATCGTCGTATCCATGCTACAATCCTGATTGTTTTGGTCAATGAACTGCAATTATTTAATAAGTTATGAATACAATTATTATGACTTGAATTTTTTTTTGCGTTCATTTTCGCTTGGCTTTCGCTGCCTAAGTTAGTCGTAAATGTGCAATGTGCATGTTATGTTTTCTTCACGACTTTGTTTTTGGAGTGTAGTCAGAAATGTAGGGCCTTGCCACCACAAGCTGAAGGTTGTTAGCTTTGATAGTGTTAATCCTCTTGAGGCACAGTCTGCGGGGTTATCTTGAGACTTTACATAGTTCCATTGCTCTGCTGGTATGCATCGTCGAATCTTTGCAACTCGATTGGCGACGTATTTTTCTCTCTTAGATGTGTCCCCCTGTATCCAGGCTAAAACCACTTGAGAATCGCACCAAACGGTCGTGGTGATTTCGAACTCATTCAGCGCTTCTTTAATTTTTTTGATGAGTTGCGAAAGTAAAAGTGCGCCACATAGTTCAAGTTTCGGTAATGTAATAGATGATAGCGGTGCTACTCTTGTTTTAGCAGCAAGTAATGTTATAGTGGCCTTGTTTTGTTCATCTCTGACACAGCTGTAAACCACGCAGGAGTAAGCTTTCTCACTGGCGTCGCAGAATCCAAATAGTTCGATCTTCTGCTCCATTGAACCGAGCCAGCGCTTAACATTTATGTATTTTACGTTGGTTATGTCAGCTCTAAGTTTCAGCCATTTATCTGCTATATGCAACGGTAACTGATCATCCCAATCAAGTTTGTTGACCCACACTTCTTGAAATATAATTTTTGCCGCGATAGTTATCGGCGATAGCCAACCCAGTGGATCGTAAAGTTGCGAAATTTCAGAAAGCAGTTGCCGTTTGGTTATTTTCGGTAGACATTTTTCTTGAAATTTCCAGTTAAAAACAAATGTGTCGGCCCGCGGATTCCAACCAAGTCCTAGAGTTTTCATGGTTTCATCTTGCTTGAAATCAAAAGTGATCCTGCTTGAAATCTGGTCACCCTTTAAATTCTTTAATAATGTTGGTTCATTACTGGACCACTTGCGTAAATTCATCCCGGCTCCTTTTAACATTTCGATAAGTGATGTTTGGAGTTCTAGGGCCGCATTCAGTGAGTTGTGGCCGCTGATGACGTCGTCGACGTATGCTTCATTAAGTAGTACTTTGGCGGCCGTGGGGTATTTGTAACCGTCGTCAAAGGCAAGTTGTTTGATTGTTCTCATGGCTAACCACGGTGCGGACTTAGTGCCATAAGTAACAGTACACAGTTGATACTCTTGCAATTTATCTGACGAATTAGGTCGCCAGATAATTTTCTGCAAATGTTGTTGTTCCTCAGACAGCCAGATGCATCGGTACATTTTCTCGATATCCGCTGTGAAAGCGTATTGGTAAGTTCTCCATTTTATTATGAGTTCTTGGATATCTTTTTGTAGGTTGGGGCCTTTTTCTTGTAAGCTGTTTAGGCTGTATCCCGTTTTAGTTTTCTGAGATGCATTGAAGACTACTCTGAGTTTTGTGGTAGTAGACTCTTCTCTAAGTACTCCGTGGTGTGGTAAAAAACATTCAATGGTTGAGGTTGAAGTAGGAATGGGTTTCGTTAGCTTCATGTGGCCCAACTCTTGATATTCCTTGAGGAAGTTTTTGTATAATAGTTCAAGTCGACCATTTCTTTGAAACTTTCTTTCAAGCTGCAACAATTGTGATACTGCGATATGTTTTGATTCTCCGATCTTATGTTGAAAATCCGGACATAAGGGCATCTTCACAGTGTAGTAAGCTTCGCACTGATCCTCTGGTTCTTGATCAGTGTTTTTTATGGTGACTTCTTCACTCTCCCAAAATTTTGCTATTTCAGATAAGTCTAGGAGAGTGACGTTACACTTAAAAGTTTCTAGTTTTCCACACAAAATCCATCCCAGTTGTGTCTGTTGCGCAACGGGTGACCTTGGGGTGCCTTTTAGTACTCCATCCTGGATAATTTCGGCATAGACGTCAGCTCCAAATAAAATATCAACAGATCTTGAAATATTAAATTCGGGGTCGGCTAGTTTTATGTCTTTTAAATACGACCACTCTGGTCGTTCAAATGTGTTGTTTGGGAGTTTGTTGATAAGTTTTTTCATAATCAAAGCTTCAGTGTTAAAAGTATACTCCGAGTGGATTGATTTGCATGTTATGCTTAGTTGTCCCTTACAGTCGCCTGAGACGGATCCAACTCCTGATATCTTTGCAGTTAATTTGTTTCTTGGTAGTCTCAGAAGTTGTGCTGCATTTTCAGTGATTAGGTTGACTTGTGAGCCCTGATCTACAAGCGCACGCAGGTTTATGTAAGTCCCATCTACCGTCATGACCTTAACTTGGACAGTTGTGAGTAAAACTTCCATGTTGTTGGCAGACAAATGATTAGAGCTCGCTGTTCCAGTTTCTTTAGATGGTCGTTGACCTGAACGTTGATTTTCCGTACTCGTTGAGTTTGCTATTTTATTATGAGATTTGTTATAATGCAATAGCGTATGATGATTCATATTGCATTCTTTACAAGTCTTCACAGAATTGCAGGTTTCGTTTTCGTGTCGAAATAGGCAGTTTTTGCATAGACGCAGTTTTGCAACTATGCTGTTTCGTTGCTTTGTATCCGAGTCAATAAACTGCGGGCATCGCATCAAAACATGATTATTTTTGCAAAGAGGGCATTGCCCGTATGAAGTATGGTAAGTTTTGAGTTGCCATTTTTTATGCTCGTAATTTCGAGACGCATGTTTTTCAGTCCCAGCCGCCTTTTCTGCGCTCTGTGACTCTTTCTTGGAACTTTTCATGGTTTCAAATGCTGTGAATTGATTTTCTAAGAACGTCAGAAATTCTTGTAGTGTAGGCACTTCTCTGTTGTCCTGCAAACTCTTTATATACTCATTGAAGGTGCCACAGTCTAGTTTCTGTGCCATCAAGTGCACAATCATGGGATCCCAACTAGTGATGTCAAAGCCGATGTTAGTTAGGCCGTTCAGACATTCTGTTGTAACGTCATGCAGCTTCTTCAAGTTATAAGCGTCGGGCTTGTGTATTACAGGCAACTGCAGCATCGTATTCATAAATGACGAGAATTGTAGTCGACGGTTGTCGTAACGTTGAGTCAGAATCGCCCAACATGACGAGTAGTTGTCAGCGCTAATGCTCAAGTGTTGCACCAGTCTTTCTGCTTCGCCTTTCAGCTTGGTTTTAAGATGCTGCATTTTTTGAGCTTTATTTAATGTTGGGTTTTTGTGGATCGTTTCAAGGAAAAGGTCTTTGAAAGATATCCATTTGTTGTAGTGACCCGAAAACTCTGGGATCTCGATTTTTGGCGCTGATTGTTGATGATGAGCGGTGGACCACATCTTGCTTTTCAATAGTTTTCTCGCTTCGTCATATTTGGCTTCCATGCTGTTGAACATTTCATTGTATGAGTTTTTCGATCCTTTCAGTAAGGCTTCTAGTTCCCAATGAGTGCTGTCAATACGCTCCCACTTTGACTTCAAGATTGCCAAGTAATCGTCAAGTTCCCATTTTTCGCTTACGTTATCAAAATCTATTTTACCCATAGCTCGATCAATGGCCTTAAAGTTACATTCTTGTTGGGTCAGTAGAGTCTTTGTCTTCTCATCAGCTTCTCCCGCCGATAAGTCTGACAGGTCAAATTTCACATTCTCCTCTGCAGCTTGCAATAGCTTTACCATGTCAGCTTTAGTGTTTTCGTACATGATTTTTGTCTTACCGTAGATATCGTCCATAAAATAGTTAATATTTTTATCTTCGATTTCTTGCGACAGTAGTGTATGTCTTGTATTAAAATCCACCCATTGAGCTTCTAACGATGTCAGCCGCTTGTTCAAATATTCTTTTGTTTTTCTTGTTTTGCTATCCTTGTTGTAGTTGTTGCATAATGTTTTGATGTTTTCAAAACATGCTGATTGTAATGCCAGCTTATTCATCTTGAATACAGAAGAGTTCTTCTAGTTGACGAATGCTGTGTTGGTGTAGTTGGATTCAGTGGTTGAAGAGCTTCTAGTTGTTGAAGTTCTTCTGGTAGTTAGTTGAAAGTTTTCTTCCAGTATTCAATGTGCCTGTACTCTAAATAGGTATGTGCGCCTTCTCAATCCAACTGGGGCGACCCGCTTGTGGGAGACCAATTGGACCGATTCGCTACCGTTTCTAGAGACACAAACACACCAAAATACACGAAGGCTCGAAGGACCATAAATGTACGGGTATTGAGTAGTTAACTCCGTACACTGATTTGTCGTGAAGATTTGTAAGTTGAGTTAGTATAGGTAGAGAAACACTTTTCCACTTAAATAGACACGTTAAGTATATTTATGTAAAAGTAAATTACAACAGTGGAAGGCGATTATTTCTCTTAGTTGTTGATAGCTACTAAGTTGTAAGTTTACTATATTATAATATGTCCGTCATCTCATTTTATTATGCGGCAGTGCGGGGCGCCTCTTCGAGCCGGATGTAGGTTGACGAGTAAGCAAGAAAAATGTACGGCGATGAGACCGTACACTTACAAAAAAACAACAGCAGTATCAAATGTTTTAAATTAATGTGTATTCTTCTACCCTTCGATTCTTCAATCATCTATCAATCACTTACTTATTGACTAGATACAAAACAAATCATCAAAATATTTCGTTCACTTACCCAGATGGGAACTGCAAAGCGTTTAGGCTCCACCCCTTTTTGTGCAATAATTCAGCCATCTTGAAAATGTCAAACTTTTTCGATCCGAATGCTATGACTGATGTCGCCGGCTTGCCAAACACGAACAGTCCTGGGATCTTACGAATCCTGTAACATATTGGATAAAATTTACTTATAAAATTATGATAAAATTTATTTACTATAAAGTCGCTAGAAAATAATAAAAAAAGTAAGTACTTGATCGCCCGAAAAACAAAAAAAAACGGAACTAAAAACTTTTTTGTATATAAAAACTAAAACTTACTCATCCTCAATATGCCTGGCGGTCTTGATGATCTCGTCAGTCATGGTGACGTATCGCGCCTTGCCGACGAACATCATAGTCGCCCAGCAAGCTGCTATTAGACCACCCGCGCGACTGCCTGTTTCACAAAAAACATACTTAGTATAAGGAGAGTTTACTAATCAGTTTTCTCTTTGGTAAGCAATTGGGTAGTTTCCTTGGTCAAAAATAAATTAATTTGACAAAATATTGAAAACCTTACTCATCAATCGATCGATACACTGAATTTTAGAAATTTTTTGCTACATTTTAAGAAATAAGTCAGCTATTTGACGCAAAAATACTATGACGTCATAACTCAGTGTTTCATACAAATTTCATAATAAAGTATCCTTTTTAACATTTGGATAAAAGTATTGAATTTGACTAATTGGAAACTACCGTATTCGCTTCACAAGCAATGCCAGAAAAGTTACAAATGCGATGTCAGCTTTTAGAGGTTGTTAGGAATTTGAAGATTAATGATTTGGGGATAGGACGGGATGTGGTGAGAGATTGGTTACCGGCGCTTCCTCCTCGCTCATGCAACGAAACATAAATACTACAATTTACTTATCAATACATTAAGTACACCTTTACTGAGTGACCGGTTGACAACGCACAGCCTAAAGTACCGAAACTAGGTAGCTGGAACATGGCTACTAAACATCCAACATTACTATGAGAAGATATCCCGCAATTCCACGTTAGGTGACAAAAGGGAACTCTTAGGTGCGTGCAAAATCGTTGACAGAAATATTTTGCTTTTCATTATTTTTTTGTTTTGTTCATATTAAAATGTGATTTTCGAAAATATTTGACGATGCTACAAGCGTTAGAGATCCCGTCCTGTGGTTAATATACATACGTAATCAAACTAATAAAAAATGGTCGTCCGGAAAGAATGTATATAAATTAATATAAACTATAAACAAAGTTATACATTATACCCTGGTATCTACTATACGATTCCAGTTTCACTTTTCACAATGCATACTTATTGTGACACTTCCGATACCGATACAAAACGCCGGCGCCATATTGCGGTACTGTGTAGGAGTTATGTAATAAAATATGTTATTTATATGCTCGTTTGGGTTGTTTTTTTTTTGAGGGGAAAATCATCAAATGACTTCTCCCGCCCAGGGCCGGGCAGAAGGGAGTTCCCCTGTTCCTTCTCCTGCTCTGTGCCGAGGTCGCGGTGCCTCATTGCGCTTACCCCGCAACCCCGGCTGAACATCAGCCCTTTAGGGCCCCGTCTGTGGTGGTCTGTTGGCTCTTTGAGGCGCGCGCGGAACGCTACGCGCCGTACGCTCGGGCCTGGTTCTGGTCGGGCGGCGAGCTGCCCTTACTCGCCGACCGCAGGCCCGTGCATGCTCGTTTGGGTGGGCAGTAGGTATATGCCTATGATTTTATATAGAGCGAGAATTTCTACTGATCGCGTTAATTTCAAATACGAATGAAACGCGTATTGTAAGTGCGCTGTCGCCCCGAATACCATTTATACAACTTTTTTATGGTGCTGGTCGACACACACGAGCTGACAGATTACCGGTAACTTTCTCTTAAAATCAAAGAAGTTACTACAAAGGCGTTGCCAGGCTTTTATGAGTTATTAAATTTTTTTATGACAATCTAGCAGACGGACCTTATGGTAAGCAATCAGCGCCGCCCATGGTCACCCGCAACAACGGAGAAGTTACAAGTGCGTTGCCGACCTTTTGGGGATTAGGGATTTGGAGATTTTGTAATTGGGGAGGGGAAGGATTGGGCCTCCAGTAACACGCACGTTTCACGCCGGTTTCTGTGAGGCCGTGGATTCTGTCTGGTCGGGCCGAACCATTCGTGACGAAGCATGGTTCTCTCACACATATGATGTAGGTAATCAACTTACCATTGACAGTAGGAGAGCCGTAGACTCCTCCGGGCCACTCCGTGGTGACAGTGTACTGATGGTGTCTGTACTCCGCCTTGCGGTACAGGACTACTGACGTGCCTTTTGGCGCAAAACCGTACTGTAGAGAAAATAGCACGTAGTATTTATTATAAATGTCGTAAGGTTCAAAATTAGATTACTATTTATATTATATAGGTTCGATATGTACGTTTGAGGCTTCCGAATGAAAATTATAAAAAAATACAGATCCGGAGCTACTTTTTGCCATCCGAATCGCCAAAAGCCGAAGCCGTATACTTATTGGCCTGCATAAGTACTTTCGAAAATTTTAAATATTTTAGTAAGCTAAAAATTAAAAGCTCCGTTGTCACTCGAAATTCGACGGCCACTCCCGAAATAGTGTACAAGATATATCGGTTTAATTCAGAAAATGTAATTAAGGCATCAAACCCTAAGCGATCACAAGCGTTCGCGCACTTATTGTTCTTCTGTATAATTGTATCTCGAATTGCCACAATTTAAATGTTAAATAGGACTTAATGCAAAAAGATCGAGTCACTCTTTTTACAATTTATTACTAAAGCAATAAGACTTACTTTATGCGTATCAGCAGATATACTGGAGACCCCGGGCAGTCTGAAGTCAAAGACGGGTACGTGGTGCCCAGCGTCAGGCATGAAGGCAGCCACAAAACCTCCGAGGCAGGCATCTACGTGGAGTGGGACGTCGTTCTCTAATGCGATATTTGACAGAGCGATGATGTCATCCATTGTGCCGTAGGGATAGTTCGGTGCTGAGCCTACGATCTGAAGAATGAAGAATTTTTTATTTTTCCCCATAAGAACTAGGAATTCTTCAGTGTCTTGAGTACATTTATAAACTCACTAGCTACTCTCGCGTTTGATCGTAGCGTGATGTTTTATAGCCTATAGCACTCAAGAACATTGTAGCTATCTATCAGTGAAAGAATTTTGGCAATACGACCAGGGTTCCAAAGATTACCCCCTACATACAAACATACAAACTTACAAATTTTACCTCTTTATAATATATATATAAGTATAGATAATTTTACAGACCCATCTCAAACACTGAACAACAATTTCTTTATTACAAAAGTGTCATTACAACGTCCGGAACTCCGGATATAACTTTTTTTAGGTTATTGCCTTTACCTACGACTACGTTTGAAAAACTAAGAATTTTACACACACACACACACACACACACACACACACACACACACACAACATATCTCAGACCCCGTAAAACCATTTGTGGGAAATACAAAAAGTGGGGTAGAATCCTCGGAAAAAAAAATATAAAAGCCCATCAAAATACTTTAATATACCTAATCACAAGTATATTTTTTATTTTACGATATATTTATTATTCGTATTCATTAAACAATAGAAGGGAAATAATTTAACTATTTGACGTAAAAAGTTATGACATCACAACGTGCTATTTCAAACAAAATTCATAGAAAAATGACGTTTTTGACATTTCGAAAAAAGTATTGAATTTGACTATAGTCAGAATTTTAATTCGATTCCTGATTTGACATGACCTACTGTCATTTTGTGAAATAATGATACCACATATAACAGTATAGTGATGAACACAAAAATCGATAAACAATCAGCGAATCAGTTCCAGGAAGGCATTCAAAAAATTACGGCTACCGAATGGTCTAAATGCGTATCCCATGTAGTCAAAGAAGAGAAAAAAAATTAGTAACCTAGATATGTTAATTGACAATAAATATCACAGACACAATTCATAATAAATGTTACAGAAAGTAATAGCGATAGCGATAGCGACAATTTATAAAATTTCTGTTTTATTTGTCATGTTTCTTCATGATCACATTTTTTATTAATTTCACACACAATTACAAAATAAAAGTCTCAGATCGTTAATTTATTGTCAAAACTAAATTTTCGGTTCAGAAATATTTTATTTCCTGATAAACTTAGTTTACGAGAGTAAATTTATAAACGAGAGGAATCGATTCAGAAATATTCGATTTCCATATCGAATAATTTCGCAACGTCACTATTTAATACGTGTCATAACGTTGCAACACTGAAATTGTCAAATCTGGAATGGAATTAAAATTCCGAGTATAGGTCTTCCACGTAGTCAAATTCAATTCAAGATTCTATTCCAAGAGCGAATCGAACTGATCGAGCTTGCGACGCCTAAGAATGCTTCATTCGAGCATTTACGTGTTGTTGTTACAATTAATCATAATTGTAACTAATTACACCCTTAACAACTTATATTCCATGATAAAGGAGCCGGAATCTGATGTTGGAAATTATAGGCTGATTCTGAATGAATGAGACTTTGTACAGACAGATTTCTTATTTATAGATAAATGCGACATATACAAATTTATCGGCTATTTAGACATTGTGAAAGAATAGGTCATATAAGATGTAATGTAATGTAAAAACTTACCAAACAAGTCCTTCTTCCAATAGCCTTTCGAACCTTCTCGACGTCAACGGTCATAGTATCAGGGTTTACGGGTATCGTCTTCACAGAGAGGCCCAAGTACTGAGCCGCTTTGTCAAACGCCGTGTGCACGGTCGATGGTACTATAATCTGTGGGTTACTTATACCCTTACTGTACGCAAGATCCCTGAATGCTTTGCAGGCCATTATTATTGATTCTGTACCGCCTGTTGTCACCTGGAATAGGGGGATTTTATAATTAAAAAACTGTGGAATAAGGTTGAATTTCGAAAAATTTGTTGGACTTAAAAATTGAATAGAAGAATGTATGCTGAGGGGGCAAATCATCATAATAATATGTTTTCTCCCGCCCTGGGTAGGCCGTGGTATATTGTTGCGTTCCGTGTGTAGATATGTACAATCTTTCCACAAATAATCAGGATTTTAAATTCACGCTATATGATATTATTAAAACGGCTAATTATAAACTAAGAAGTGTGTTCTCTTAGTTCAACACGCTACAGCTGTTTATTTAACCGGGCGAATCCCTACCTCGGCCTAAAGTTCTGGTCCCTAGACGGTCAAAATACGGTATATAGAAGGAATCACTCCGGTCGAGCATTTGTATCGAAGTATTGCTCTACCGACATTTCCTAGTCCTTTGATATCAATAAAACATGTTACTGAATAACTTCAAGTAGGCATACTAAGCTGATTCTTTAAATTGAACCCATCATTACCATAGTAATTTCTTAATATCATTCGTACCTCTATCTACACTTAATTAACATTTTTTTTAATCCTTATTACAACAAGTTTATACTATTGTTAGTGAAGCATTATCTTTGTTATCTCCGCGGATAATTATAAGTTGTTTACAAGGTCACTTGTGACATATTTCAGTACAGTATATTAGGTACAATTTACATAGTAATTTCGTGATGAAGTGTATATTTTTTTTTGTTTTAGGTACAACTAAGTTCATTTAGTGAAACGATTGCCGTTTTAGTGGATTGGTTGAAAAAATGCTGGTCTCTTAGTCATGCCTGTGTTCATTTTGGTTGCAAAATTATTGAAGCACAGATCACTGACCCCAGAATTCTCAATAGTAGAAGCGTCTTTAGAACATACCAGGGGCATTTCTAGTTCATTCAACAATCTAGTTCATTTATTGCCTCATTCAAGGGAAATGCGTCCTGAAATTAGACTGTAGGCAATAATTAACGAAAATGTATGCCTGTTAGTATTCACACCATACGTGAGAATCGGTAAAACGTCACCACTTCGTACCACCACACAATCACGTAAAACGTCACCACTTTAAGATGGATATCTCACCCAAACGCACGAAATGCCTCCAATCTTTTCGTCAGAACCGCTAAGGATTTGAGTTATTCCCCAGAGTCTGTTTTCCCCGAAAGGTATTACACCTGAGTGTCTTAAATGCCCGAGAGAATAGGGTATTTCAGCATTATTAAGTCAGTAAGTGTCTGATACTTCCTTCGCCTCATCCTGGACGCTAAAAGTCATATGATGACTTTTCCCCACACAAAAAAAAATCCATCGTGCCTATATAACCTACAAATATGATGAAACCTTTAGTATCAATCATCGTAAAAATAATTTCATTACTCATTAATTACCATATTATTGGGTACCGGAATATATTACCTCCTAAGCCTTTTACTAAATAGATTCAAAGTCGGTTCATGGTCATGTGATGACTTATTTAGTTCCGCACTTTATAGTTTTAATAAGCAATTGTATGAGGCTATAATAGCTTTTTGTTTTATTCAAGTAATGCTGACTACACACTACAATGCGATTTTATTTTCTACGTGATAGGTCGGCAATCGAGCGAACGGATTACCTGATGGTAAGCAATCCGCCGTTGGACAGCCGCAACGACAGAGAAGTGACGAGTGCGTTGCCGACCTTTTAGGGATTAGGGATTTGGAAATTTTGTGATTTTGTGACTGGGGAGGGGAAGGATTGGGCCTCCGGTCACTCACACGGCGAAACAACGCTGTGGTAGTTTCGTGCCGGGATTCTATAAGACCATGGTATCACTCAATCGAGTCGATCCATTCGTGCCGAAGCATGGCGCTCCTACTCTTAAAAGACTTAATTTTCCTTAAGTTCTTATCATAGATCATTAGGCATCTGACTGAATGACCAGCCTATCTGCAACTATGGAAAGGTAACTATAATACGCAAACACAAAAACTTTGAAATACATTAAACTAAACATCACTCACCGTACCACAGCAGTCATCGTCTCCGTGGAACAGGTTGATGGCCATCCTGACTACTTCAGCTTCCATCTTGTTGATGCCAGGGAAGACGTCAGCGTGCAATGGATTCGTATAAGCAGTAAGACTGTAGGCTTCACAAGCCACTTTACTGATCTCTTTGCTTACGTGGTACACTGCCCCTGATACGCTACCTCCTTGCCAGTCGTAGGCACCTGACAATAAGAATTCAAGGTTGAAAAAGAAGTTCTATCATATAACAAAAAAATCGTAGGGGACCTAAGGTTACGGCTCCCGGTTCTAACACACGAGGATGAGTTTGAAACCTGGCTAGTACCAATGTTTCCCGAGACATGTGTACTTTCTAAGTTCATTAGGACACAGACAAACAGTGAAGAAAAATATCGTGAGGAAAACTGGACTTATAATTTGTAATAAAATCGCGAATCCGCCTTAAGCAAGCGTTGTGAATAGCACAAACCTTCTCCGTGTGAGAAGAGGCCTTTGCTCTGCAGCGGGCACTTATAGGCTGATGATGAACCATATCAACAGAACGTGTCTATATGCTGCTAGACCCTCACCACTTGTCGTCCACATAAAAGGGGTTTGCAATAATAATGATTATTGGTCTTTATTTAATATTATCCGCATCTTAGTCGGTTCTTTCGACTCGTATGTGGGGCGCGTCAGGCCAAGTTCAAGTTATATAACTGTCTGAATGAGGAGCACCGTGTGTTGATGAATAATTTGCGACCGACAATATCACTAGAAGTCCATTTAAATCGCACTTCTTTAGTCTTTGAAATCAACAACTAGTTAAAACAATACATACTTAATCATAACACTGAACTTGGCTACCATTAAGTCCCATTTTACATATATGTTTTTGATGGGATACAAGAACACTTTTATGATTTTGTAAGCGCATAAAATTCTTCAGTCCTTGACCTTGGCGATTAATCTCTATGCACTTGTATAGAATGACCGTCCCGTCCAATTGACGAATTTATTTGCGCGGGTACATATAAGTTCCTACAGTACACTTTGAATTCACTTATTGCGTAGTTAGCGAGTCTATTTCGGACAGCTGGCGGATTTCGGATAGAACGAGACCTTTTTCTTGGTTTGAAAACGGAAAGAGAAAAAAGTTAAAATCACCAACTCAAGGACAAAAGTATATCAGAACCTAAGCCAAAGTAGCCTTAACTCATGTAGGTAGTTTTTGGAATGTGTAGGTACCTACTAGGTATGAACCTCAATGCCATCCTCTTTGGAATAACATCTCGGTAAGTCATAAAAAAAAACATCTAATAAGAGAATGTCTCTCACCTAGAGCTACATGATCCCTGACTTCCTCCATCACCTGTTCGGAGTCCAGCCCATGCTCCGGCAGTTCCCTCCTAACGGTAACACCGGCTAGTCTCTTGACTACATCCTTTCGGAAGTCACTGTTGATTTCTGCCATCTTTTCATCAATCTTCCTCCTCACTATGGGCACCTGACGGAGCCATCTGAAGAATTCCTTGCGAAGACGCGTTGTGACACCTAGATAATGGAAGTATTAAAGCTATATCTCCTCAAATTAGTTCGTGGTTTAAGCACTAATCTTTGGAACTACTGGTAGTTGAAGTCAAATATGAATAAATCGTGATGTCCCTGATCGTGATGAGAGAGGAAAAACCTATCAATAATACTGTTCTGGGTGGGGCGAGTGAGAGTGTCAGACCTGTGAGTGTCCTTCACCTGCTCAGGTACCCTTAAACCTAGCAAGCACTTATGAGACTTATATGAACACATGGAATATGAAACCTGGATACCAGGAAGGTTAAAAATAGGCTGCAATACTTGGTTCCACTACCAAACCACGCAAGGCACACTACAGAAAAATGTATACTTAGTTAAATCTTTTTTTTTGTAAGAAAATTTGGTATTTATGTACAAACCATTTCCCGAAATGATTTCAGGACCAAATAATCATATTACATCTTAAACAAGTGATAAGTCTCATATTATAGCATTCACTTCATAATTACAAAAATTAAATAGACTCTATTTACTACAATTAACCCTAAAATCCTTTATATCAGAAGAAAAAACCTTAAAAGAAATTAAATATAAGCATGATATTAAGTTGTGTATCACTGTTTGGGGGTTGCAAGTGCAATAATTTACCGCAGCCCAGCTAAGAACAGGGGAACAAATGGCTTGGTTTTTAGTCAATAAAAGTCACTCTCTCTTACCCCATTCTAAGGCGCATTCAAAGGCGGAAAAAAAACAACAAAGTTTGGCTCAAAAAAAAGTTGATGGGCAGAAAAATGAACCTTACATAACATTTATTAAAATATCACTTACTTTCTTTGGCATTATACAAGCTGTGTGCCCACACAATAGCAAGCACTGACGATGCAGTCATGGTGACTATCTGCCATGGCTCTTTGCCCTCAAACAGCTTGTTAATGGCCTTTAAAGGCTGCGGTCGCTCACTCATGGCTGCAAAATAAAAATCTGTTATATCACCCTGCTGCTTCTTATTAGGACCAAGGTACACAGCTTACAAAAAGTAATATTTATTTTTTGATATGTAAGTATGTAACTGCACATATGCACTGGAAAAAATCTGAGGTCATATTCTATTTAAAAAAACTAAGGAGAAAATTCAAAATAATTGGTGCAATCTTCCTTTAATAACTTTAATGTTTATTTTGTACTTTATTGTGACATTTTAAATATAGTTTTTGCAGTATAAAGAAATATTGTGTTCCAAATATGCATTAAACAAGTCATTATGAAATAAGATGTGTCTTAGTTAATCCTTTGTCTACAGTGAGTCACTAATGATAATTAGCTACTAATACTTATAAGGAACTAGGTTGCTTTGTTTAGAAATATTAGCCACTTGGTTTTTTTAATTAGACTACCAATATTAATATTCTGATTTGACTCTTAGTCATGGTGGTTTGATTAAAATAATCTGTTAAAAGATACCTTATGCTTTGTCCAATCACAAATCCCAAATCAAAAAATTACAGAGCCTTCACAGTCTAGTGTGCAACACTAATTTCACACACATTATAATGAAAAAAGTAAATGTAACAAAAAGTTTTTATTAAATTTAGTTCAGTCACTTCATAGTCAGTAAATACATATTAGTTTATTTATTACTATTATTACTCCTAGATTATAAAAATAAATTATTTTGTTCCATTAGTTTATTAAAACTAATATTTAAAATTATTATCCAAGAATTATATGTACTAAGTTGAAACTTACTACGCTGTTTCTATTACTTTTTATCTATATAAATTACAAAATTATACAACCACCATCAGTGATAAAATCTTATGTTGAAATTACATAAGTAACTGTAATGTTGGCCAAGCATGTGGAATTTCTTACAAAAAAGAATAAATCAAAAAGGAGACAATAATCAAGAAAAGAATATTTGACCTATGCTTCAATAGATATATTGTGAGATAAAATTATGATTATGATAAGTTATTATTGTACCAAATAAAAGGTTTTACAAGCTAAATGAACTATCTAACTAGAGAGTTCTATTACGCATAAAACAATTTTAATGCTTAATTTAGTAACTTCATAAAAGTGCAAAAAAAAGTACTACATAATAAATCTAATTTACATTTTAATAAAAAAAATAAACAAAGAAGTTACAGACCAAAGTTCAATCCAGTTCATCTTCCAAAGAGGAAGACCTTATGATAAAAATACTAAAACCTTGTTTGTATCGTGTTATTGTGTACACAGAGGCTGAATTAATTAAACTCAGTAGATAAACTAGAACAATGGAATAACTATAAATTACAAGAAACAAAGTAAAACGCCGGTAAAAAATAAAGTTCCTTCGTAACACACAAAATAAATGTTAATAATATTCGTTAAAAATCTAGGAATACATAAATGCTACATATTAAATTTTTACCTCAAAGTCTCTAACTCACCTGGCACAGCTGTGTAGAACCTAACACAGTATTTTCTAACGCTTTATCAAATTACAAGAGCGAGCTCAATCAACTTTGACAATTCGTAATCACAGTAATACACACTGATAACGATTACTCAAATACGGATAATAGTCGTCAACTCGTCAATATGATAACGTTTAATTACACGGACAACAAAGAGTATGTAACCACTACGGACAAAACAGATTAATCGTTTATAATAAAATCTCAAATCACCTTTTAGACAATAATATTATTAACATAAAATCGATTGTATTAAGTAAAACGAAAAATCAATGTAAAAACATTACGATTTGTCGACTATATAATCGACTAACACATTTTATATGGAAATACGGGTGCTGGGTACTGGATTTGATTTCCTTATTTAAAAAACGGATTTGTTCAAGGATCTTGCCCCACCAACAGAGTGCGAAAAGGGTTGTCGGAAACCAGGACGCAAAATAATCGTGAACAAATCGACGTTCCCACAACGATTCAATCAAACTACTTCTAAAAGTTTACCCAAGATCCTGAGCGGAGTATTAATTAAAACCCCTTTAAATAATCTGACCAACCTTCATTCCATTGGTTGCTCAATGGCGCACTGAGCCGAAAAGAGTTTAATCTTCAATAAAGCAGTAAAATTCATCGTAATCGACTAAAAATATCAGGATAAAAGTCTACTACTCTTCACTATTTCACTGACAGTGTGAATTTGACAGATCTGAAAAGGATTGTTGAGCCGCGTTCCAGGTTTTGAAAAAAATAAAATTAATCTGAAGTTCATATTTTTATCTATATGAGCGAGAAACCAGACTTAAAAAAAAACAAAATATATAAAGGACTAATGCCGTAACATTAATTACAGTTTTTCTTACTATTTTACCATCTTTTTTCTCTGTAATCATTTTAACAATAAAAAGCAAAATAAAACTTATGTTCAATTAGCAACGATAACTATCTGGAACGCGATTCGACTACACCGAGAAAACAGCTGTTGATATTATGAGTCATCAACCTCCAGTTTCCTGTATTCCAAACACAGGCAAAATGTCGAAAGCTAAGAAAGTTATTGAAGAAGCGAAGGAAAACAACAATCCTGAAATAGATTTGGTTGACAAAGGACTCTCTAGCTTGGACGAGATACCTGGCTTGTGTAAATTAATTGCTATAAACCTGTTTACCCTTAAAAGGGCGTAGTGTAACCTGTTTATATGAAACTTGTTTGGTCTTTGGGTGTATTGGTGGTACTTGATATTTATAGGCATGCCGTATGTCTATAAACATGAGTTTTCTTTGATAGCTTCTTGTAATAATTGAAAATAACTCCCCAAATTGCAATCTGAGCAAAATATAATGTTCAAGGTTTCTTTCATAAAGATTCTATTAAGGTCCTTGTTTAAAATTTCATGAATCTAATAGTGATTTCGCCCACATGCTTTGAGGGCTATTAGGTAGCATTGTTGTACCTGTATCTATTTTATAGCAGTTAAAGTAATATTTCATAGCTTTAAAAAACAGAGTTAATTATAACCCATGACATCATGCAATTGGTCACACCTAGTGTTATTTTGTAAGTTATTTCCTTCCCTGTTGTTCAATAACTCTATTCTGGAACATATTATCTGTCACTAGAAACTGGGGTTAACAATTGTTTGATCACAGTCTTGTAATCAAATTTTTCATTTCTTTGCTATTTGCAATTACATCTCTTTACTATTTAAAACATATTAAAATTACCTCAAAAAAATTAATTCATTTTCATATTTGTTTTTTTGGTCTTTATTTCATTTCTAATTAAATGGTTTAAATCTGTTATTTTTGTTACGCATGATGTGATTTTCTAAATAAGAAAGCATAGGATATTTGAAATTCTGATATTCATATAAATATTCAAATTCAAATTATTTATCGTGGAATATAGGTACAGATAAGATATAATTACAATGTTAGGAGCACTATGTTGAACCTAATAGTCATACAAATTTTGTTATGTTAATTAGGAATACAATATTATTGTTTTATAAGTTGTTACAAAAATTTAATTATAAATATCATTAAATACAGTCAATATAAAGTAAGTCATAAACAAATCGGACATCTTATGTAACGGAATTCCTTATAATTATATACTATTTGTTTATTCTCCCTGTTAAGAATTCATCAGTAAAATAGTGTGGTTTTTTAACCATATTGTTGATGTTATTCTCAGTTCTAATAGACATGGGTATCATAATATATATTTTTGGAGCCATTCCCAGAAAGCTTTTTGAGTATAATGCTGTTTTACGGGGTCCAACTTGTATTATGCTGTGGTGATGGTTACTGGTTAAATAAATAAAGGTGTTTTTTAGCGAATATTTCTGGAAAAGTCATTATTTTTAGCTCAATAAAGTGTAGTCTATGAAACAATGAAACAATTATATATAAATATATACATTCAGATTTTAATTATTTACCCATGTTATTAATCTGTTTAAATTTATATTTATGTCCATTTCAAAGCTATGTGATTCTAAGTTTAGCTCTGTAAAAATAACTGTACTATCTATACTATCTGCAAATATAGTCATGGGATTTTGAATAACTCTAGGCATATCGTTAATATCTACGAGGAACAATAACGGGCCAAGAACGCTACCCTGGGGTACTCCGAAGCTCGTTTTTCTTGGTTTCGACTGGTACCTTAGTACCAAGTTTATCATCTGGAAAATCTTTGTCATACTAATTATTTGGTACCTATTTTTAAGATACGGTTCAATTAATTTTAATACATTGCCCCTTAGTCCATATTTTTCTAATTTAGACAAAACTATGTCGAAATCTACAAAATCAAATGCCTTGGACATGTCCATAAACAAGGTCCGCTATCCATATTTGTTATAACTTTATTTACAATATGTTTGTATTGTGTTTTCTTGTAGGAAACCCAATTAAATAAATTAAAGATATTCATTAAAAATGATGAATGATTATGTATACCTAATATATGAATTTATTTCCTTACAGTCAGTCTCGCCAACATAACTCGTCTCTCTGTAAGCCACAACAAGATCCAAGTAGTTCCTGCTGCACTTGCAAACCTCGCGAACTTGGAAATACTGAATCTTGCCAACAACCACATCACTGAACTCCCCGTCAGTCTATCTTCCCTGCCGAAGCTCCGTATCCTGAATGTATCTCTCAACAGACTAAATGGATTACCAAGAGGGTTTGGTTCTTTCCCTGTTCTGGAAATCCTGGACCTGACTTATAATAATCTGAATGAGAAGAATCTGCCTGGAAATTTCTTTATTATGGGTTTGTATTTTTTCCTGTTGCATAGTAGTCAGATTTTTTTTAAGCAATCTAATACTACACACAGGCTAATGAAACTGCTTTTAGCCACTAGTTTTGTCTACTTTAGTCTTTAGTGTTTTGTACTTCTTATACCTTGTAATTTTAAAGATATGTTAGTGACTGTGTTAATGTTGAAGTACAGTATATTTTCAACGTTATTATAATAATACATTTTTATCAAGAAAAATATTGTTCTAAGTAATCATTAAAAATTTTCAGACAGTCTCCGTGCATTGTATCTGGGTGACAATGACTTTGAATACTTGCCTGCGGAAATTGGTAACCTGAAGAATTTACAAATTGTAAGTACTTTATTTTTATTTTACATAAAACATAATTCTATTTCAAATTCTTTATTAGCATTTGCAGCAAGATAATGTGCTCTTCTTCTTCTTCTTTTTCTAATGATAATGCTTATGGGCTCATGATGATAATGATAAGTAACAATATCAAAATAAATTAATATCTAATAAGAACTGTACATACATAACATTATATACCTAATTCTACTTTTTAATACTTAAGTTACAAAGTACACTATTATTTCTACATATTATGTTGTTGTGAACTTAATTTGTAAGATAATAGGTTCAAATTAATAACTTTGGATTCGACAGACAAACTGTGTTTAGTTTTGTCGAACTTCGATCATTAAATAAATTAATTAAATTAAATGACGATAGTTGTTGAATGGAAATTTCAAAACCCTTTATTGTTTTTATTGTAGCTATCAATGCGTGAAAACGACTTGATCGAAGTGCCTCGCGAGCTCGGTCAGCTGGCTCGCTTGAGAGAATTACATCTACAAGGCAACAGGCTTGTTGTGTTACCGCCTGAAATTGGTAAGTTATAACACTAAGGTGGTTCTAATTTCATGCAGACCTACTAGTCTCTATTTCTACTCAAATTAAAATCTGTCAGGTTTTGTCTGCGGTTAATTACTTTTTTCCATTTTTATTTTCTCAAATTCTCCTTATGAAAGAATGAATTAATTTTTGTAAATAGGCAATAAAACAGCACTTTTACACGTCAAAATAAAATAGGTGAAGCGGGCATTTCCTATCTGACAACTCTGAGAAGAAATGTCGAAACAAACTCAGAAATCCGTCTCTCTTCAAGTCCAGACAATGTAAAAAATAATAATTATAATGTGTGAGAATATTTTCCAATATTATAATTTATATTCATTATTTGGACAGGATCTCTCGACTTGGCCAGCAACAAGTCAGTGTTACGCTTAGAGGGCAACTTCTGGGTGCCACACATTGAGGACCAGCTCAAGTTGGGACCCTCACACGTGCTCGATTATCTGCGCTCTGAGACCTACAAAGTGTAAGTAGAATAATATTAAAGGAGACAATTAGACATTTATTCGGATGCCATCAAAATACCAATATGCTTAGTCCAATTTAAAGTCAAAGTCAAAATCATTTATTTCATTTAGACCGCATTAGGCACTTTTAAACGTCAAGCAAACATAAGGAAATTAGTATTTCATGAGCTTTAACTTGCGTGTCAGTCTGTCCGTCTGCCCTCCTATGGAGAACGAGCAAGAAACTCCGTGGTTACTCTTTTTCAATCAGTTTTACAATTCATTTCTTTGTCACATCATTTAGTCGGTTCTGATATGTGTGCAATTCAATAATATTCTTTATGTTTATGAAATAGTACGGCAAACAAGCAGTTGGATGACCTGATGGTAAGCAATCGGCGCTGCCCATGGACACCCGAGTGGCCCCGTAATTCGTGTTATTTCAACTTTATTGCTTCAAAATACAGACGGGAATTGATAGAGATTCTTGAATGTTGATTTGTTAATTATATTTATCTTTACAGCTTGTACAGTCGGCACATGTCAGCGAAGCCGGCCCCACCGCCACAGACGCTGGATAAAAACAAGAAAGCTAGCAGAGCTGCTTAGCTTCACTTAACTATTATTATTAACGTGCTCTTCTGATTAATACTTAATAATAATAATTAATTCGTGTGTGATGTTTTGCTCTCGACAAATGCGTGTATGACATGGAATGTATCGACGAATTCAGGCATTTGCTTATGAATAGTATTTGACTAAATATTTGTGTTAAGGCCAATTATATATCTGGCATAAAAATATTTATATAATGAACTTAAGTTTTTTGAGAAAAGCATTTATAATGTAAAATAAGTAATAATTTTACTTACTGTTTAAAAAATCATAGATGTAATTTGCAACGATTTATTGCCATAAAACAATGATCCAAATTGTTACCAAATCTCAACTAAAAATTGTCAATTGTAATATCGAATAGTTCTACATAGGATCTTGTACTACTAAGTGCACTTACCTACATAGATAAGTTTATATTTTTTTACACTAATAATTATGGTGCTAATTTATTAATTTGTATGTTGTGATTGTAATAAGTATTGAAATAAATTATTTACTAACTGTCAGTTATTTTTATTTTTGACGACGACGACTAAAATGAGTTCCTTACGAGAGAGACAACCTCTAGTTGGTGAGTCGCGACAACGCGCACGCTGCTCATGAATAAGAGTCCCGTTGTAACTTGAAAATAGTAGAGCTTGTCACGAATTGTTCTCAGAGCTGTCCTCAGTTTATTCAGTTCTTAACTTCTTATCTATACTAATATTATAAAGAGGTAAAATTTTCTAACTTTGTAATTTTGTATGTAGGGGGTAATCTTTGGAACCGCTGGTCTGGTATTGCCAAAATTCTTTTACTGATAGATTGCTACAAAGTTCCTGAGTGCTATAGGCTATAAAACATCACGCTACAGTTAAATGGAGCTGAGCAGCGGGTAAAACCGCGCGAGAGTATCTAGTTTTAAATAACTTTAGTATGACTCACGATAATTATAGATATTCGAAAAAGGATTATAATGCTTGGAGTCTTGAAAGATCGAAGTCTAAAAGAGGTGATCCGGCGAAAACTAGATATCTACATAGCCCAAAATATTAACAAGCAGTGGCAGTAGACTGATAACTGTCGACCGAGAACCGACAACCGTCAAGCGTAGCGCGCTAATTGCCTATATCATCAAATGGCTTCTCCCGCCCAGGGCCGGGCGGGAGGGAGTGTCAGACTCTTACTGACTAAAAACCCCCCTGTTCCTTCTCCTGCTCTGGGCCGAGGTCGCGGTGCCTCATTGCGCTTACCCCGCAACCCCGGCTGAACATCAGCCCTTTAGGGCCCCGTCTGTGGTGGTCTGTTGGCTCTTTGAGGCGCGCGCGGAACGCTACGCGCCGTACGCTCGGGCGGCGAGCTGCCCTTACTCGCCGACCGCAGACCCGTGCTTACGGTGGCCGGAGATCGTCCCTTGATCCCCGACGCCCGTAGTGTCACCAGTTGCGGCTGCTGGGGCGTGAGGAGGAGTATTGCTCCCTCACGCGGGCCGCCTCTCTCTTTGCGAGCATGACTGCTTCACAAAAGGAGGAGACGGCGTCCCAGTTCCTCTCATTTCGCACCATGACCTCGACTAAGGCCGGGCGCAAGAGGTCGCCGCCGCCGATCACTTCCCTGAGGATACGGCGGTGCTCAGCCCAGGCAGGGCATACCGCTACCGTATGCTCCACCGTATCCTCAATTAGTTGAAGTGACAATATCCTAAAGGTGGCTGCTGATGGTTGGATGCGTAAAGCTGAAGATCGGGCTCACTAGCGTACCTTTAGACAAGCCTATGTCCAGCACTGGACGGAAGCAAGCACAGGTCTGCAGCCAAACAAGGGTAGCATGCCGCTCGACCAGAACCAGACCTGAGCGTAAATAGCTTTTAGTGGGCGCCTCGATACGCCAACAGGCCACTACAAATGGGGCCCAACATCGCTGATGTTTAGTCAGGGTTACTGGGCAAGTGTAATAAGGTTCTACGGCGTTGACCTGTAGCGGGATTGTTGAATCAAACGTGGTCCTTTCGCCTGGGCGAGACATGTTAGATGAATTTCCCCTTTAAATAAAGCAAAGGACGGAAAAGGGGTTGATGAATGAATGAAAAAACTAGGAAAAAAATAAGGTATTAATAAATAAAACAAATAAAAATAATTAATAATTAAGTTTTTTATTACAAAATATTAGCATATTAAATGTATCAAAATCATTTTTATGATTGGAAGGAATTGGCATTGCTTAGATTTGTACATGGTGTTATATTAAAATTATTTATACACATATTTAGAATATTTTTATATGGATGGAGAATTAAATAGCAAGCTGCTTTTGAAATATCTTTAAAACAGATTATGGCATAAAAATCTTGAATTATTAACGACTGGAAACTTTTTTTCATTTTATGTCGATTATAGCCAAATGTAACATATAAAATGCAATGCTCATTTAATAGTTTCGTGTTAACAATTAAAAATATACAATATTCAGACTAGATCAAACTAGACTAAAAGAAAATCAAATTATTTTAGGACTTAGAATGCCCATTAATGACAAAATTCATCCAATAAGCTGCAAGAACAATATGCCTGTTGCCAAGCATAAGAGGCTATTAAGTAATATATATGTAAGCAATGTAATAAATGGTCTTCCTTTCATTCTTCCAAAAATAAGATACACAATTTTCATACTAAATAGAGATCAATTCTCAAAAATATATCTATTACATATATTATTGTTAGCAAACCAGTGCGCACATAATTATTATGAGGGGTACCTATAAATAATGGGGGATAATGTGTTTTTTTATCACCAGATGGCGTTAATCTAAAAAGAGATAGTGTGACCAATCACTGTATCTGTCAAAGTTCAACATCCAATGGAGTGACAGCAATTAAACTGTAGCCACCACTACATAAAGACGTGAACGATGGCGTACAAGCAAAGATGGCTAAGTGATGCTTTTTAGCCCTAAGGGGAAGGCAGATGTGAACATAAATATACAACATAACATTCATTTTTCATTTACCAGTAATGTTAAGAGCCTGTAAGTCTTTAATTGAGATTATCAAGTTAAAGTACAATAAATAATCAATTATATTATTATAGTTGATAAATAATCAATTACATTACTAAATCAAGAAAAATATTCATCGAGAGAATTATTGTCAATGGCAGTTGGAATAACAATAGTATGGCAACACATAATGACCAAGAGCGACTATCCAGTTGTGATGGTTTGTAGGTCCACCAATTATTTATCCACATTAAGAAAGTTTAAATTAATTAACTTCTTAATTAATTAATTTACTATTCGAAACACCATATAGAAGTGTAGTGAAACTAAATGTATTTAAATATCAATATAAAAAGAAATCGCATCCATCGAACCTTCAAGCCTTCTTCGTGTGAAAAGAGGCCTTTGTTCGGCAGTGGGCACTTATTTATTTTTATTTTATTTTTTCTTTTTTAAAAACGTTGCCCCACATTAGGATTTTCTCCTGTGTCGTGGGTGCGTTTACAAACATTATGGGCTGATGATGATGACCTCATCCATCATATAAATAAACAATATAAGAAAATTAATTAATTTTATTTGTTCGACTACATACAAAGGAAAGTTCGACAAAATAAAAGAAACCAACCAATATTAGAATAAGAACACCTGCCTGTTATTTTTTTACATTTTCACAGTTCAAATAATTAATACCAATAACATCATATAATTTTGTCAACAATTTTTGCAAAAGGAACTACAAATTATTAAATTTTTAAATAACAATCAAAAGTATCAATACTTATATTGAAGAATGTCAAGAAAAACATTAATTTTGTTTTATTTTAAATTTAAAATGAATTTAATGACTAATATGTTAATTTAACTATAACATTTTCTAGCCTCATAATTGTGATGAAATAAGATATAGGTATTATATTTTTTGCAAGTGCTCATTAGTCATTAAATTAAATATTATGAAACAAGAAAAGTGCATAGTGCAATGAAAGTCAAAAATATTAATGATCCTGACCCTAATCCCAGACATTTAATAATTAAATCTATTGATAACAGCCAATAGACACATTGTAAAAAGAAAAATATATTAAAAACATTGGGATGTTTCCAATTGTGTAAGCGGTAACAATATTTTTTTAAACGAGATTCCATATTCAAAGGTTTAAAAATATAAATCATTTATAAATTTTTTTTTGGTAATAACGTGTAATGCTATTGAAAGACAGTATTTTGTGTAAGAAAACATCCCAATATAGGGAAACATACTCACCTAGCTTTACTTAGGAAACAGAATCATTAAAACTATACTAAATCAGTCTGTCATCAGCTCAATCATCATCATAGTCTGTGTCGTCATCGTCGTCGTCTGAGATCTCCATGTTCCTGGTGGAATTTGCCATGGGAGTTGGTTTCCTGGAACGCTCCAGGGAGAAGGCATACGCTTCATAGTCTAGAACTTCATCATCACTTAAGTGGGAATTGCCTTCCACGAAACTTGCAAACCTGGAAAGGACACAATTGTTGTTTGAAAACAGTCTAGTCTGTCCTAGGTCCGTTCCACCCTATATAACATTAAATAATTGGCAAAAAGGTTGGGGCGCCCGCTTCTCGTCCATGCGAGTTCAAAAGTAATCCTTTTTAAGTTTACTGATATACGGTGAAGGAAAACATCGTGAGGAAACCCGTACTTAAAATTTACACTAACGCCTCTAGCGGCGCATTATACTCTGTGTTTATTTTTTAGATATTCAATGTTATTGCATTTATAATGGACACTTGCGAATTTGTTACAGAGTAGAGGGAATTAGTTTTTACATTTTTTATACCCATTTAGCAAACTGCAAATATCACTTTTTGAAGTTGTAGTCAAAATCACATTCAAATATTTATTTCTATGCCGAAAAATTAAAATTAAAAAAGTAACAAGAACTCAGTATATAAACATTTTAGAAGTATTTTCATCTCCCTTACCTCTTAGAATCGTTCAACTTGAGCATGATCTTCCACTGAGCACAGTCAGGACTCGAGCAATACTTCCTTAGGTTTTCCAGCGCCATCTTTGTTTCCCGCGCACCTTGTTCGTAGTACTCTTCGCTGGTTAGAAGCTTCTGTTTTGGCGGGAATTTGCGACGCCTGTCATTTTTAAGAGCATTATTTAGTATGTAGGTGATATAGATTTAGAGGATAAAATGTACTATGAAGGAATTATAATGTAAATTCTGGGAAAAAGGTGTATCACAATTGTGTCGTTTGGCGTTCCATTGCCTCTAACAACCCAATAAGAGAGATAAACATGACGATAATTGAAATTTGCTTATGAAAACAGGCCTAAATTTAATTTACAGCAAACCCACTCACTAGTAATTTTAGTCACATAAATTTTACCTGAGGAATAAAATTGTTGCTGTCATTTTCTTATACAAACATTCTGATGCGACAGCATCATAATTATTTCTCGGCTAACTTTTATCTAAGCATTGAAAAATCAGCCCTAAGACACATTAGATTACTAGTGAATACAATTTCAAACATACTCGTAGATTAATTAGTAAAATATTTTACATCATACCAGTATCCACATATCCTGTTGGTCAGGGACTGCGGGAAGTACTTGGCGACCAGTGACGCGATAATGACAGCGGCCGAAGCTTCTTGGTAATCAGAACTGAAGAATATCATTAGTACGCCTACACACTGAAATTATATTATTCATATTAATACGGCACATTCAATTAATAATATAAATTTAAATTATAAAAAACCTGTAAGAGGTCGGTGTTTGTCGACACCACAAACTATTTTTTGCATAAATGCACCAAAGTAGTAAATGTTTTAGAGACAAAAAGGTTAAACATCACAGCACCACAGTAACACAGAAGAGTGAAGTTACCAAACAACCAAAACCGTTCCTTCCTTATTTCATCCTCAAATCAAATCAAATCAAATTCTTTATTTCAAATAGACCAAAAAAGGCACTTTTGAACGTCAAGCAAAAAATATATCATAAGGTTTAACTTTATGTGTCAGTCTGTCCGTCTGTCCTCTAGTGAAGCTATTTGCTCGTTCCAAAGTGTAGATTCCTATGGAGAAGAACGAGCAAGAAACTCCATGGTTACTCTTTTTCAATCACTTTTTACAATGCATTGTTACATAATTTAGATAGTTCCATTATGTGAGAACAGTGTAACACTAGTGTTTAACCAAAGGATCCGAAAAAGAAATAACCCTCAGGGACAGCAACTTTAGACAGTCTCGAGTTGACCAGTCCCAATAGGCGGCGTCCGTTCACGAACATGACACGCACACCAGCACCGCCCAACTCAACCATATTATAGGGAACCGAGCGGTCCAGCGCCCGTGCCACCGCCAATGAGACTCCTGAGTGAGCATGACAACTCCCAACTGACACAAGTACCAATCCTAAAGTCCTCAATTCTCAAAGCCACAAAAAACATCCAAGGTCACAGTAAGAAATCCTAGTGTAGGCCAACTTTTTTAAGTATTCAAAAGACAGACAGTAGATTAAACCAATTAAAGATTGTCCAATTACAACTGTACAAAACTTTTACAGCAAGAATATTGTTTTAAGGCTAAGTTAAGTTTAAAGATAATGACGGTTTAAGAAGCCGCTATTAATTAAAACATTATTAATGGCGACAGTTGTCGACTGGATAAACTTACCTGTAGATATGTATGAGAGAGTTTGCCATTATGTATGCATTAACTTATGTTCATAATAAAAATAATTAGTCTTCGTGAGACTGATGGCTACATTTTAAATTGGATCTGTTATGTATGATAGTTGTTAATGATAGAAAAATAAATAAATATTTTCTCACCTGTAAAGTCCACATAACCAAATTCTTGCTTCTTTCGTTCTTCGGCGGTCCTATTCTGTAGCAGACTAGGAAACTGACGAAGCTTATAATCATAGTGTACCAGAACATATACGTTTGGTATGTCAGTACCAGCGTGCGTATGTTCTCCCATATTTGTTGGAATAGGTACACTCCGACCGTCCAACCGCCTATCAAGATACCATATGTCAAAGTTTTCTGAAAAAATATTAAAGATTAACTCGTGTTTTTACAGTGTAAGTAAGAACTTTATTTCAGTTCTTGCGTAGCGGCTAGGCAATCAGCTACTGTGCAAATTGTCGCACTGTAAAGATTCCCGATTGTTGTTGAGAGTCTTGGCGTGATGTGTATGAGAAATTGTATATTTGTAAAAGCACCCACGACACAGGACACACAGGACAAAATCATAATTTCTTTAGTCATTTATTTTTTAAATTAAGTTTCTTAATGCTACACAATCAAATGAGATTCTTATTGAAGAAGTACCTAATTCAAGAATCTTAAGCAGTAAGACTTTATTTTTTAAGTATAAGGGAACCTATGAAGTCTATTTTACTTACCCTAGGCAACAGCTTGCTAATATAGTACACGAGCACCATAAATGAGGCAAACACACCGACAAATATCCCGCACAAGTAGAAGAATACAGGATTCCCGCAGAGAGCACGCGAAGAGAATATCAGCACCAAACCCGCTGCCATTAACATTATACGCCATAGGTCTACTCCTGGAAAAATGTATGATTGTTGAGTAAATACTATTTGGAAGAATAGTCTGTGTTACATATAGGCCGGTGATAAGTGGTCAGCGTTGTTCCTAGATACCTGTAATACCAGATAGCTGGCTATAAGTATGTTGATGGTCTTTGAAAACATAGTTTGCTCCATTCCCGAAAGTTCTAACAGTACGAAGAATACTGCAAGCGATTTATTACTATATTAATTACATGCATAATTACATCAGAAATTATCAGATCATAAAGATTTATGGCAGTAAATCCAGGGCAACATTTCAGACATTTAAATCATGATATCAAAAACTATGCAGGAGCGAAAATTAGGTATTTGCTTACATATCCTTGTATCAATGTCTACTTTATTTCAACATCACACACTACATGAAATATTTAAGGGAAGAATACCAACAAGATACTTCCAGTTATAAAAAATAATAAATTTATTAACTTAAACTTAGGTACTAAAAATCGTTAATATTTCATCCTAAAGTAGCAACTACTACAATGAGTTAAAAAGGGTACCAAAGCCAGCTAGAGCCAACATTAAATAACAAAAACAGCTCTGAACGACATTTTAGCATTTTTATATAATTCAGTAATAATTTAACAATATAAAATAACAAGAAAAATAAACAATACCATAGTAGCTATGTATTACTGATAAGGTATTCAGACTTGCTATAATAGCTCTCAGGATGGGCTATCAAGATTACACCACTGTAATTTCTTTAAGTAATGATATTAATATGTTTGAAATACTTACTCAAAACTTGTAATTCAATGGTATGTCTCTCTCTTGTGTTAATAGCCATACAGGTGGGAGTAAATAAGTTGATAGACACAGACTTCTGTGGTTTCTTCTGGAAAGGATTGACAACAGAGGACCAGCCATAGCTATCTTCAGAAAACTCCTTGTACACATCCGCTGGAGACTCGCCAATGTACTGGCTGAACTCATTGTTTTTTATTTTTATGTTGAACTGAAATAATCATAAGAGTGTTAAATATTCTTTATTTTGTATATCAACTAATATGCTTAAGAAACAACAAGCGGAAAATGTAATTGTTTAAAAATGTACTAGAATTAAAATGTATATAAATAAACAAACAATCTAAATTGGTAGTTTATTTTTATTTCAATGGTGGGATAATGAAAGATATTGTGGCAATTTATCAGCCATTTTTGAGGTTAGATTTTATTTAGTGAGTCTATTTTCTTAAGTACATCCCTTGAAGTACTAAAATTTGTTTATTAAAGAAATGATCTGAACTAAAATAGTTTCTAAAATAATATATTTTAAATCGAAAATATTTTATTAGATAGATACAATACTGTACCTAATTACAGGAGTAAATTTAAATATAAAAAAAAATTTTGGTTACATACCTTTACAGTTTGCCAAATGGCAAATAGATTTTTTGAAGTTCCCCTGTAGCAGTAAATGTCTACAGTCTGTTTATTAGGGGTGGGCACATCTCTCTCTATTGTTGTGGGGCCCCCTAGCCAGTGAACTGAAAAAAAAAGCAGATGCATAACCTTTTTGTTCAAAACTTTGTTTTTTTTATATTGTGTATTTTATTTAACAATTTATATAACATAAATTGTATACTAATTGTAATTGAATAGTATCATAGCGTTGCATCTTTAAAATAGTTTTATTTTTAAATGTATCTGCAAAGGGAGTTTCTCTTCTGTTGATAACTAAATCAAGCATGCATGTTAACCTCATTTGGCAATAATACTGGTTGTAAGAGCTCAGTAGATATTCTAGTTCATTAAGACTTTAAAAGTTTTAATATTCAACATTTTACCATAACAATAGAGCATGCAATTTTATTCTCGTGCATTATTGTATTACACAATGTACAGCAATTATCCTAAATTATAAAATCAATTCTAAAGTAATTCGAGTCTAAAATACGATAAGAAACGAGTTTTTACTCACCATCATATGGTAATGAGTCCGAAAATTTAATTAACGCCGTAATAAACAACAATAACAACAAGTAGCGTCCGTGGCCGCCCATGTTTGTCTTTATTTTTACATTACAAGCTCAACAAATTAAGCATTCCTTATCACACCACTTGGTCACTGAACCACTTCTGTGCATTATCTTATTTTTAGCACATGAAATTCGGAGATTATTACCAAAAATTGCGAGTTACAAAATGAGATCTAAGAATAGCCAGAAACACGGCAAAGCAAACAACTTTCACAATTTAACTTGACAGTTGACATTGACAGATTGTTTTTGACGTCGCCTCTTTATTCACTGCCTTGGTAACAGCACTTTTTAGTTTAAAACAGAGGACGCACTATCCGTACTTAGGTAATGCATTATCATAAATGATAAATTATGACTCTGTTAAGCATAGAGAATTGAACTGAAGACTATATAAGTATAGGGCATTAAACTAACTTCGAAGTCAGGAAAACCCATTCGATTTTAATGATTAATGAGGTAATTCATTTCATTTCAAGTACAAAAATTATAATAGGTATTAAAATGATAAAAATGGCCATCAATAATATCCATTGAAAAATAAAATGAACAATACCAGTGGAGGTGATACTTAATATTATTGCTAAAGATTTTTAGAATTTCCGACACAAACATAATATCATAACGCCACGCTATTTTTATTTCCGATGGTGTAGGTAGAGTAGTGGTATCCATGTTGGTCTCAGGAGGTGAGTCTTCTATCGATTGTACACGGTGTGGGTACAATTTTAAATTAAAACTTTAGGATCCAACACAGGACAGACCCCGTAATTATATCTCCTAAAACTAAAATCAAACTGAACGGTGCCGGCGGCGTACACCTTACATTCGCTCAGTCGTTGCGCCAACTGTATAGGCTGAACGTTGCGTCACGAATTTTTAAGTTATAATATTTGGCACTATAGCAGCGCGTGGTCCACTCAGAACCCCTGGGAACAGAGCAACGCCCAGTCAGTACAAGACAAGCATCCGAGCAGCGAGTTGTCACGGAGTGTTCCACCCGCCGTCCACGCGTGTTGCTACCTTACGGCTTAAAACCGAGACGATCTTGTGTCGCTACGGAATTGATATAGTGAGCGCACGCACGCCCAAACACGACCATATAAAGAATACTAGCCGCAAGCGAGTGGGTACAGAGTAGGTGCCGGGTAGCTCTAATGAGACCTTAAGATTTTTATAATTGACGGCGAGCAAGAGTTTCTCGATGTTTCAAGGACCCAATAGACAACCACTGACGGGGCCCTATTGGGGCTGATGTTCAGCTGTTGTTGCGGGGCAAGTGCAATATGGCACCGCGGCCTCGGCTCAAAGTCTGATACTCCCTCTTGCCCCAGCCTGGGCGGGAGAAGACATTTGATGAATTTACTTTAAAAAAAAAAACATCCTTGAAAATAATATTAACTCCAACCAACTCGACCACAACTCAGCATATAGAAGGTAGAAGAATAAAAGATTATATGTACTCTCATCATATTTTTATTTGGTAAAGCATATACAATAATGGAGTGGTCATGTATTAACAGAATAACACATTAAGGCACTTGCTGTTCTAAAACATTGTACTTTAAAAACTTGTACACAATGACATCTTACTCTACAGACACCGCATTGAGGGCAGAGACTTTCCGACTACATAAGGTTTTTAGGTCTAATGTCAATCTGAAAGCGCAACACCCATGTCCGTGATCCTAGGCTACTTTCATAATTTCTGTTACATTGTCTAGTACAATTATTATCTTGAAAAAAATAATTGTTGACTGGTCTATGTTTGTAGCTAGCTCTCATCCGCAATATGGTGCCGTAGAGTAAGATATCTATGTTTGTACATAATAAAAAATAACCTGAATATTTACTGCAACCGAAGTAAAAAATACAGGAATGTTTCCTTAAATACTGTTCAAACACTTATGTTAATAAAATTATTAGAATGCTATTAAAATAATACAAAAGCTACCATTCACCAGTCTTAGGACAGGAATGTTCAAATAAATATACTTTTACAGTTTCAAAATACTGACCTAATTCATTTTTACCACTGAATTACGAATCACAGCTTACAAGAAATAGTATAAATAAATATTTATTAATTCATTTTTATATATTTTAGTTGTTAACTGATTTCGATGTGAATTCCATTATAATAAGTTTACTGAATTAACAATCACATTCTATGCTACAGAATAATTAAAGGAATTATTTTCGTTTATATTAAATCAAAAATATATTATGTCACTTTTTCTTATTCACATAATCCACGATTTCTAATTTCCTTGTATCCTAAAAATACAGAAATGACAATAGTTACGGCTAGTGTCTAATTATTAACAGGAATCGATTTGTGGAATGACAAGTTAACATTTATTATAACAAGATAAAATTTCCGTGAACTAGCACAGCGATTACAATATAATATTTTAATTTCTACTTTAAACCATGCAGTTTTTGCAAAATCCAAATTACTGACAAACCAATGATTCTCCGCTTCTTTGTTTTTACTTCTTGGAACGTAAAGAGTCTTCAATGCAATGAGGTATACTATGTTGCCAGCGTTGAGTAGTGACGACAATTGAAATGTACCATCGAACTTTAACTTTGTGTAAGTTTGTTGTTAGTTATTATTCTTAGTTGAATTAAAAATTATAACTAAACTGCATAGTTTCACAATGAAATAAAATAATAAAATACAGCAAAGGCAGATTGAAACTATTATGTATTGAATTATAATTTAAGGCACGGCAATATAGTTAAATTTATCACATTTTTGAACATAATTTATCACAACAAATAGTGAATTCATTTAAAAGGTTTCTATGTATAAAGTTCTTGTGTATCTGACTTTGCTGACAATACGGAACCATATTATTATAACCTTAACGACCTTTAATTATATTGCACTATCATAAGTCTAGGAACCTGTGAAGGCACGTTGAAAGAACTAAGTAATTCTTCTATTCAATAATCTATCTTATGTGTGTTGTATTAAATTTCAAATTCCTAGTTCTGTGGAATACTTTGCGATTTTGCGACGTTGTTTCTAATTTCACTAGGCTCTTGATGGAATGTGGTATCTGCAATAGAGAATACAATTAGAGAAATATTGAAAAAAATATTTTTAAGTTAGATTTAACAATTTAAGAAGGATGTAAAATCTTGTGTATTATTTTTTCTCTCATATTCTCACTAGTGGGGCAGTTTTATTTCAAATAAAAATAAAAACATGCATAGTATCGTCTATCTTCATACCAAATTTCAGCCATAAGTCAAAAAAGTCAAAAATCATTTATTTCAATTAGACCACAGTAGGCACTTTTGAACGTCAAGCAAGCAAAAAAGGAAAAAAGTATATAACAAGAGCTTTAAAATTAAGCGTGTCAGTCTGTCCGTCTGTCCTCTAGTGAAGCTATTTGCTCGTTCCAAAGTGTAGATTACTATGGAGAAGAACGAGCAAGAAACTCCATGGTTACTCTTTTTCAATCAGTTTTACAATACATTTCTTTGTTACATCATTTAGTCGGTTCTGATATGTGAGAACAATGTAACACAATACCACCATATACACAATCTTACAAACTTTCCCTGTTCACACATGAACATGCATGCATAGGATATGATGGGGCCGAGATGATCGATCACCTGATTTGTTTGTTTTTATTTAGGTATATAAAAAATCTCACCCAGACCAGGAACAACAATTTAGAACCCGCGACACGTTGCGCGGCAGCCAGTTGCCCAGCCACCGCGCCAACCGTGCAGTCAGATTAATCAAAAACTATAATTAGTAGGTAGGTTACCTAACGCTTGCGCTGGTCGTGCGGAGTGTATGGAGGCCCGCCATGCCTGGCCCACTCGCGCTCGAACTCGTGCTCGAGTATCTCGGCGCCTCGCTTGCGGGTCAGCCCGGTCTCTTCCAGGCTCAGCTCACACATCTGCATGTCGTCCACGCCTGGGAATAAATACAAGTTTTCTAGTGTTTTGTTTCTGAATATGGTATGTTTATTTCTAAAATAAATATTTACCGAATCAACATTCGTGTGCTTTATTTACATACTCATATGAACTATTCGACCTTCGAGCTCTACTAGTTTCAAGTTGCACCGGGACTCATATCAATCGACAGAATGCGTGATCTTCAAAATCAGTTTATGTTTTTCCACACATGGCTCTCCCACACTTGCTATAATCAGTCCCTTAAACGCTTCGTAAAATGTAATACTAACCGGCTTGTAGCAGTACGGGAGTCTTGTCAGGATGTAGTTCCATCTGCCTGGCGACGTACTGTCCGTCGAAGTGTGCGTACCACCAGCCGCGACGCTCGGCGTCGGCGCCGGCCGCGCCGCCCGCGCGGACGAACGGGATGCGGAAGTAGCGGTGCCGGGCGCCTAGGATCTCACCCTTTTGAGGAACTCGGGGGCTTTTTGCTGAGGAGTTATATAGCTTATATTAGGATAAGGAAATATAGACCATGAACATGTTGGTATACAAAATTATGTTATATTGCAAATGTAACCTTTAGTCACATGAAGCTAATTATTCATCTCTAAAATGTCTTGAACGGAGCAACAAAAAGATCATATAAGTTCTAAAGAAGCATGAATCGTCATATATCAAGTAACATTAACAAAAAATACAGGACAATATACCTATGTAGCATTTCAAACAATTCTAAAATATCTTACCTGCATCCATAATCGACTGTGGCGCCCTCTCCTGGTCGGCCATGGTAGTCTTGCGGGCGTTCTTTGCCTTCCACGCGTGGTATACCTTCAAGCGTCGGTGGAACTCGTGGCGGCAAGCCTATATAATGTATCAAAATATATAATCTTATACAGATACCTATATCAAATAGTACAAACATATAGTTAATATAGATTTACGGAATTATATGTCACTGATAATAAAACTATGCAGGGCTTAATTTTGGTAATACAATCAATCAATCAATCATCAACTTTAAACGTCAAAATTTAACACTATTTCAGTCTGTCAGTCAGTGAAGCTAGGTGTTCGTTCCAAAGTGTAGAATTGAATTCGATATTTCAACAATTACTTGTAAAATACCAGACCTTTTTTTTGTGAGGGGAAAATCATCAAATGACTTCTCCCACCCAGGGCCGGGCAGGAGGGAATGTCAGACTCTTACTGACTAAAAACCCCCCTGTTCCTTCTCCTGCTTTATGCCGAGGTCGCGGTGCCTCATTGCGCTTACCCCGCAACCCCGGCTGAACATCAGCCCTTTAGGGCCCCGTCTGTGGTGGTCTAATGGCTCTTTGAGGCGCGCGCGGAACGCTACGCGCCGTACGCTCGGGCCTGGTTCTGGTCGGGCGGCGAGCTGCCCTTACTCGCCGACCGCAGGCCCGTGCTTACGGTGGCCGGAGATCGTCCCTCAATCCCCGACGCCCGTAGTGTCGCCAGTTGCGGCTGCTGGGGCGTGAGGAGGAGGATTGCTCCCTCACGCGGGCCGCCTCTCTCTTTGCGAGCATGACTGCTTCACAAAAGGAGGAGACGGCGTCCCAGTTCCTCTCACTCCGCACCATGGCCTCGATTAAGGCCGGGCGCGAGAGGTCGCCGCCGCCGATCATTTCCCTGAGGATACGGCGGTGCTCAGCCCAGGCAGGGCATACCGCTACCGTATGCTCCACCGTGTCCTCCAGGTGGTCCTCACAATGACGACACTCGGGCGTTTCCTCCCGCTGGATCCGAAACAGGAACCTATCGAAGCTGCCGTGCCCGGTAAGCACCTGCGTCAGACGGAAGGTGAGGACGCCGTGGCGTCTCTCAAGCCACTCCTCAAAGAGGGGTCTTACCGCTGCTATAGTAGCGTGCCCGGCCCTCGGTTGCGACAGTCGTTGTTTCCACTCTGCCATGAGATCTCGCCGGAGCTCATTCCGCCAGGCACTAATTTGGCGCGGCAGAGGATTTTCGCGCCAGCGACGCGCATCTGCGCGCAAACTGTAGACGCGCGAAAATACCAGACCTAGAGATCCAAAAAATACCCGGATTTCCCATCCTTCTCCATTCCCGCATTCCGCAAATCCTCCAATCCTCAAACTCCTAAAAAAAGGCCGGCAAAGCCTTTGTCACTTCACTCCTTGGTGTTGTAGGTGGGGCGGCACCATTTGCTCACCATCAAGTAATCTGTACACTCATTTGCCTATCCTATAAAGAAAGCTTCTATAGAAAAAATTCAAGAACTTACCTCCAAAAGTTCAATATCACATGAAGTGTTAATAGTATCACGTAGTTCCGAATACTTCCATTTAGATAGATCGTATTTTTGCTTGCCCTGCATAGCTTGCTGCATTCGTACACGTTCCGACCTGTCGTTTGCATACAAAAACGTCAATGGATATCAAAATGTATTTAATGTTCGTGTTACATTGTTAAACTACATGCTACTTCTACAGTTCGATCGATCTATAATTGTATTCAACATCAAACAAGTATGGGAAAAGAGTCTTTGTTTTAAATACGTTAAGGTATAAGATCATATGGCATACAATTACAGATCGGAATAAGTAATTTATAGCATGCTTTGTGTAAAAATTATTATAGTGCTTTTTAAATCTATTCTATATAAACCTCGCATGCAACAATTTGGCACTTTTAAAATCACCGTTACACCCATAGAAACTTCTTAGTACCAATATTATTAAGAAAGAATATAATATAAAAAATAATACTTAAAATACCCCATGCATGATAATAAAAGAGCCAACTAACCAATATGTTAAATCTACATTAGAATCCAAGCCGTATTCCATAAACGTTAAAGATACATTTTGCTTAACAACTCATGCAATACATAAAATCGTTTATGAAACAGGGTGTTCATAAAACTAAATATACAGGATAATACATAAATGACTAGATATTATAATTGAATTAATACAACATTTAACTAAGATACAGTTAGGTACGAAACACTAAGTCGTGCGAAAAGTTCAGATGAAGCATAGGTAGCTTTATGTTAGTAGTTAGTTCATTATCTTCAGAAATGGTCCTCTTTCAATCGAAATTACAATTTAGAATTTAACATGTACACAATAAAGTGCATTTTGTATTAACTGCCAATGACTTCATCCGTGTATTAGGATAAAAGTTAAAAAATCCTACGTGTAAATCCTTGGTCTATTTCTTTGCATTGAATATTGAATCTGTTTTTGCGTAAGACTTTAAAACGTGCACATCTTCACATTACAATTTCTTTAATTATTTTTTTTGTAGTACAAAGACTTTGCTGTGTATAATCTAGAACAAAAGACGAACGAAGATATTAAAGTGTTTGTTTACAAACTTATATTGATAACAAATCATGAGTTTTCCGAAAAAAGGACTCTGTAGTGATTTTAATAAGACCTAGAATGCAATTGAAAGAGGGCCAAATTCGGAGCGTGCGAAAGAGAGGTTAGTCTGTCTCAGTCAGTACCTGTTCAATTTATTCTCTCCATTGATTGACTCCGTGGTAGGGAAACTGTGCGAACATATCATAATATTACTCATACGCTACCAACGTCGGACGGCCGGATCTCGTAATAAGAGTCATACGTTTCTGTAGTATTTATTTGAAATCAAATTAACTTAATGTTTGCCTACAATTTGATAATCGTTATTACGTGGAAACGCTATATTCTTAAGATAATGATATCCGTTAGGTAAATGATGGATGATGAGGATTACCTAATTTTGATTTCTTGAGGAATTTTTATATGAATTACCTAAGAAAAACTCTACTACTAGTTTCGAGTAACAACGGGACTCAAAACTGTAAGAAAATTGGGAACTGGCGGTCCTTTTGTCGTTAGCAATTTAGTTGGACACCCATTCGGAGGAGGGGTGAGTCGCGAATTTGAAATAGTTAATGATAGATACTTTGCAAAAAAAAAACATAAAAGAAGTACTTGTAAAGTATATAAAAAACAATATTTAAAATTACCTAATATGCGAGATGCTGAAAAGTAACAGCAAATTAGAATGGAATCTAATTTTGCTAAAACGTTTTCCCACCTAAAACACAGGATGCTATAGAAATTAGAAAAAATACAAAATAAGTAAAACAAAACACTACAAAAACGTGTGACGCGTTTGACAATGATATTCATTATAAATCGAAGTCGTAAAGCTATATACAGGAAGAAACTTCGCCGACCAATGTGCAATCTCTGTTATATTGTACAGTGATACGTTTTGTTTATCGCTTAATTTAACTCTTTATATAATATTGAAGACCTAAGGAAAGACAAAGATATTATATTATCACTAGATATATATAAGTAGTAAAAGACGACCTTTGCTGGCAATACCGAATGCTTAATCGTTGTGTTGGTCGTTCACGAAATGTGACCAACAAAAAAAAAAAAAAAAATAGTAAATGATATAGCACAAATACCTACTCTCAATGATTGACTTCTTTTCAAGGCTCAGTCTCGGTAATTAGTGTTATCGTGGCTTTAAGTATTTTTCTACTAAATTTAAGAAAAATATTTGACATTCAAATTATGATTGTACTAAACCTCATACAAAATTTATAGTACCTAATGTATTGTTTGTGACATTCCATAAAAATATTTAATTTGTTTAGTTATCAAGAACTTAATTACATGTTTTTTTTCTTTGGCAAAGAATAGCTAGCACTGACATGCTTACTATTCTTTGCTGTTAAGTGTTCGTTCTTTTCGTTTGCTACAATTAACCTCTTTCGAGTAAAACACAACTGATATGTAATTTACCTCATCTTAATTTAAGTAGAATTCATTATAGATCTGAGAAATAGAAATAAATATAGATCTACAAAGAATTCGAAAATTAAAAATAAGCTCACATATCCTCGAAGTGAGCATACCAGTTATAATAAAAAAGGTTGCATACCTGCGTAGTTGAGGCGGTGAACCTTCGACATGTCCATTGGTTTCTTTAGCCAGTCTCACTGCCATTTCGTGGTCTCGTCTCTCTTGTTCTAACCTAATTATCACAGAAAAAAAAAATACTGCATAAATTTTCTGCTAAGCAAATTTTATCTTTAATCTAAACGTGTATTAGTTACTTTATGAATGTTAAAATATTTTTTCAAACACTGTTACTCCATACATAGGAAACTATTGAAAATTGAATTAAAATTTTGGATATTGTATCAAATTAAATATAGTTTTTTATTAGCTTGGAGCAGGTGTTCGGCAATCGCTGATTTGTTGCTCTGTCGGTTCTTGACTGCGGTTATTTTTTTAATCTTTCCTCGATCGTAAATAGCAAATAAAAACAATAAAGGAAAAAAGGACTCTTTCATTTTTACCTCTCCCTGTTTTCTAGGTCAGCTTTGGCGGCCTCTTCCATCTGTTTCTGTAGTTTGAGGGCGGCGAGGCGGTCTTGCTCCTCCAAGCGGAGCCTCTCCGCCTCCTCAGCCTTGCGACGCGCCTCCATCTCTGCTTTACTGTACATATATAAAATTATAAGGGTCAGTTAGGTTAAAGTTATATTAATTAGTGAAGTTATTTGTAAAATTTCATCCAGCAGCCAACTGTGTAGCGTAGCGTAAAGGTCTGGCTAGTTTTGGTCACCTAAACATCAAGAAAATTAAATTAAGTTCCCAGATAGACTAAGTAAATATTCGACAAGAAAGTTTTTTAACACTTTAACATAAAAACATAGAAAAAAATAAAATAAAATTAGTTTGTATATTTTAAATACATAATAAATTGTATTTGTATTATAATTTGACCGAAGAGCTCGTTTTTAATGTTAACAGGCTTTTTTATACTAATAATAGTACTTTTAAATTATTTTTCCCACAAAATTAAAATATTCTTAAAGCAAAGTTTAGTGATATAAAGCAGTATTAAACGTAGTTGCCAAAAATAGACACCCCGAACCGATACAGCTATTTCAGCAGTCATTTCAACTGGCCCTGTGGCGCAATGGATAACGCGTCTGACTACGGATCAGAAGATTCCAGGTTCGAATCCTGGCAGGGTCGCGAATCTCTTTTTGTGACTTTTTACTTTTTGGAGAAAATTATATTTAGTATTTGTACATTTTATTAAAATTTATGCACTAATAGATAAGAAATCAATGTTTAATAACTATTTTTCTCCTAACTTGCCTAAGCCTATTGCTGAGATATTTTAAATTTGTATCTTTTCATATTCTTTGAAGATTTTATAATATGATAATATTATTTAATTTTTTTAAATTTTTAAATTAGTCTTATAGGGTCCTTTTTTGTCAGGGGAAATTATCAAATGACTTGTCCCGCCCAGGTTAAGGCGAGAGAGACTCAGACTCTTACTGACTAAAAACTACCCCGTTTCTTCACTTGTCCTGGGCCGAGGCCGCGGTGACTCATTGCGGTTTACCCGCAATCCCGGCTGACAATCGTGTCCTTGAATATGACCTACCACACTGCATACGAAAGTTATAATACAAATAAATATTGGTAAATAAATAAACTTACAGTCGCCTGTGCTCTTCCTCTTGTTTAATTCGTTCCTGTTCACGTTTCTTAGCCTCTTCAGCGGCGCGCATCTCCGCTTCCATCTTACGCAACCTCTCTTGTTCTTCCCTTTAATTAAAGCAATATATACCTTATTACTCAGTTACTAAGTCTTGTATTGTATATTAACAACTTTATGAGTAATTAACCTTTCAATCCTGGTCTATAGTAAGACAATAGGTGCGCGAACGTCGGCGTTCACTTGGGGTTTGATGAATTAAACAGTGTGTAAAAAACTAAGCTATCGGGACCTTACAGTCAAACCACTATTATTGTTATGTAGGACTCAGATTTTTTTTTAATTGTGCCAGCACTTATGTTTAAATAAAATATAATATTACAATATTGGTCAATCACAATAAACATTACATCAATATCCGAATACGAATTTTTATTATTATATGACTCAAGACAATTTTGGTATACTGTTGTACTGTTGAAAATATTAATTCAATTATATCATGGCAAAGGCTTCTTTTCACACGGCAGTTTGAGCATTGAGATTTCAAACTTATGATTGGAAACCGGTTTCCTAACGATGTTTTCCTTCACCGTATGTCAGTGGTGTCTAAATAATCGTAGAAAGTACATATGACTCGGAAAAAACCACATTTGTACTTGCCGCGTTTAGTTCAATAATATAAGAATTTTATAATAGTGTGGTAATAATAGGTATAAAATAGTGTAGTTAGCTCACCTATTCTTCTGGTCAATCATTGCCTTTTGTAGGGATGCCATCTGTGTCTCAACGTCTTTGGTCAGTTTAGAATACAGCTTGTCGATCTCATCACGGGATATGTTCTCATTGGACTGAAAATTAATATTATACAATATTACATTGTTATTATACATGCATATGTTATTTTACCTATCAGTTCATAAGTCGATACATTTTATTATTGAACGTTGTTTTATGCTTAGAATACGTTTAGGAAAATTTGATTGTGCGAAGGATTACGCACGAGAGTAAAAAGACAGTGTTACATTTTTTTTTATACTTACGATGTAGTGTAACACCCGGTTTCCGAAAGGCCGATCAATGTTAAAATAGATTTAATCACTTGTCAAGTCATCTGATTGGTTGACTGAATTATCAACAACCAATCAGATGACTTGACAAGAGATTTAACAGGAGAATAGTTCATTTTAGCGTTGACAAGCCTTTCAGAAACCGGGTGTTAATATTGGGTATTTATTGAGGCCTAATGGAGATGGCAATCAAACATATCAGATTTCTCTTAACTCCCACAGATAGAAATAAGTGTTCTTTATACAATAACATACCATCCTTATATTAAATCCTCACCTTAATAGCAGTACAAGCATTCCTGATAGAATTCCTCAAGTTCTCGATGTTTCTCTGCGCACCATCTTTCTCCTTCTTAAGCTGCGAGGTGACTGTCTCCATGTCTTTAAGGTTGTTATGCAAAGCATTGATCTTAGCAAGTCCCTGGTACCTCGGCCTGTGCTTGCGACGTGCCAAGTGGCCGCGAATAGTTTTTTGTAGTAGGATCAAGCATTCCCGTCTGTATACAATCTTGTTCTTTACTGTGGAAAGATTGAGTGTTTTTGTAGTTGATTGAACATTTTATATTATCACTATTGGAGGATACCAACTAGTCCGGGGTTTCATCTAGTTTTTTTTTACATATAATTTTGACGTATAAAAGAGGTGTTTTATGGCATATTTAGCTAGTTAGTTTTCCAAACCTACAAAATGGTTTAAATTTGCCAACTTTGATAATAAACAAGCATTGCAAAATTTTATTGAGTAACAAATCACATCTACATTTCTTTTGCGTCAATGGTGTGGTCGTGGGAGACTTTGAATAAATACCTATCATAGATAAAGAACGATAAATGATAAAAAACTCACACTTGATTATAGACAGCACAGCAAATATGGACTTCCTCCACCTGGATTTGACAAGCCATGATAGTACGGCTTCCACAATGGACTTCAGGCTTTCAGGATCTGACTTCATCATGGTATCGAATTCCGAATACTTGCCCGGTCGGAAGAACACTCGGGTCACACCAAATTTGTAGTCTTTGTCGGAGAGTCCTAGACTGTGGACTATGGCCTGGGGATGAATGGGAGATATTTATTGAAGTTTTGAATATTTATTTAAATGGCATAGTATGTTGTATTGGTTATGGTGAGATGAGGAATAGTTGGGTTGATAGTAATGTTATTAAATTAATCACGATCATAAATTGTGTTATGTAAATATGTAATGTAAAAATAGGAATTAAACTGCCGACTATGTTTGTTTGTTTGAATTGATGACTAGGTGTAAAAACCGATAAAGAAATAATTTAAGTCTTAAAAAAAAGAATTTAGTTAATTATTTCTTTCTACATTTGAACAAGAAGAGCGAACAAATTAACTGCACGGTTGGCGTCGGATTCGTTTCGTGCACGTAACATTTGTGTGATCCATAAATTGTTGTTCCGGGTGTGGTGTGATGTGTATGTGAATTTGTATGTTTGTAAAGGTATCCCTGACAGAAGAAAATCTTAGTGTAGGGTAATATTTAAATAAAGGAGTTTTATGAAGAATCAAACGATTCATTTTAGCTTAAGTTTTTCCACTATTTATCGGATGTTATTATACATATCAACCTTTCTTTTTCTTGTTAGATAGAGTGATTCTCTATCTAACAAGAAAAAGTGTAAGAGGGACAGGAAAAAGATTGACTTATACTACGTAGTTAGTAGATTCCATGGAAGGTGTATGTGATACATACCTCGCAGAAGACCTTGGGCGAGAGCTGTCGCAGCTTGTGCGGCAGGTATGGGCTGTACCCGGCGTGCAAGCCATGGAAGGGCGCGCGGCTGGGGTAGCCGTGCTCCATGAGCTGCAGCACGGCCGTGGTGCCCGCGCACTCCAGCTGCGCCAGCACCAGCCCGCCCTCCACCGCGCCGCGCGCCATGCAAGAGTTCGGCTTTATGCACCGCACGAAGTTCGTACCCTGAGGGGGGTAATGTTCACATATCACATATTCACACGCTCCACTCAACTTTCTAATGTTAAAGCTACACTGACGAAAAATTCCAATAATACAGTAGTTTCCCAAATGTCAAAAACGATACTTTTCTCTATAAAATTTGTATGAAAAACTGAGTTATGACCATACGTCATAATATTTTTGCATCGAATAGCTTACTTATTTCTTAATAATAAGCTAAAAATATCTAAAACTTAGTGTATCCACCGATCAATTAATAAAAATAAAGTTAGTCAATATTTTATTGTATTCAAACATCAAATTAATTTATTTTTGACCTAAGAAACTACCAAATTATCACTATAATTGATAATATAAAACAACAAAAAATATACCTTTATTTAGTAATCAATTAACACCTATGATTGACGTCCATTATCACAATAATGAATAACTATTTCTAACCTAGGCTATTTTCTTTTAAAGATTTTCTTATGCCATTTCCTGAATATATAATTTGTACGGTCCACGTACATTGACCTTACCGCCATACCGCTGACAACGCGAATCGACAGTTCACCTGTCGCGACTAATATTTCTATATACTTAGTGTGCAACTTACCAACACGTTGAACAGACCTACATGTAGAAATCACCAACCTTTTACAGTGTACGATACTAGTAAATAAACAAATTGGGTTACTACTTGAAGTGTTTTACATGTTGGACACACTCACTAACTAACACGCAACAATCATAGTGTACAGTGCAGGAACTAAACTGTCCCGTACATTAAATGGTCCTTCGAGTTTTTTAACTGTTAGGGGCAATTGTATCTCTTGAAACGACAGCGAATCGGCTTGGCTGGCCTTCCACAAGCGGATCTCACCAGTCAAGTTGAGAAGGCGCGCATATTCGGGGAAAGAGTACAAGAGCTCTAACAAGCAACGAAGGGTGATTCTTGGAAACTTTTTCCTGGATTAAGTGGTTAAACAAGACTCAACTAAGTCAACAAGCCAACTACTACTGCGGCTACTACTAGTACTACCACGAAACTTAAGGTACGTGACTACCAGACCTACTTACCTCAAGTACAATTTAAAACTACTAACTTACAATGGCACTACTTACCAAACAAGTCGGCATCTTTGAAGACATCAAAACGTTGTGCACCAACTACAAAAAGGACAGCATAACAAGGAAAAACGTTGAGTACCTAGAGAAACGTTTGAAGAACTTAGAGGAGCTATGGGGTGTCTTTGAAAAGCAGCATAAAATACTGGTGGAGACCACTGAACATAAAAACATCGGATACTTTAACAATGATGTTTACACGAAAACAAAGACTATGTACGAGTCAACTAAAAGGCATATTCTGGATCTAATGGCTTCTCAAAACAAACAACCAAAACAAGACCTAAACTTCGATCTCTCTGGGCTAATAGATGAAGAAACTGAGGACGGCGTTAAGAAGCTCATCACTCAGCAAGAACGCAATTTCAAGGCTTTAACTAAAGCAATGTCGAAGATAAACATCGACTTCATAACCGAAAATTGGGAGTTCGAAGAACATCTAGCAACATTAAAAGCAAAGTGGCAATCAATCGACAAGATACACTGGGAACTTGATGATGAGCTGAAGGGGTCCAGTCTGAATGAAGATTACAATGAAAAGTACGAAACCATTGAACAAAAGTACGACAGCTTGAAAAGGGACCTAAACAGCAAGATTTGGTCAAAAATCCATTTACAAAAATCAACACCAAAAATTGAAATCCCGGAATTTACCGGCAAATATGTTCACTGGATTACTTTCAAGGACATTTTCCTTGAAACGATACACAACAATCCGAGTATTCCCAAGGCGCAGAAGATGCAACACCTGAAGACAAAACTAAAAGGTGAAGCAGAACGTCTCGTCCAGCATCTGTCAATCAGTGCAGATAACTATGATTCCTGTTGGGAAATACTATCTCATCGCTATGACAACCGCCGACTTCAGTTCACCTCGTTCATGAGCACTATGCAGCACTTACCTACTATTCAGCAACCCAACGCCAACAACCTGAAAAGGATGCATGACGTAATAACCGAGTGCCTAAATGGTCTCGGGAACATGGGAGTTGAAGTGAGCAGTTGGGGGCCGATGATTGTTTACATGATGTCACAAAAATTGGATCCCACAACACTTAACGAGTATACCAAGGAAACGCAAAATAATAGGGAATTGCCAGACCTAGACGAGTTCCTTAAGTTCTTGGAGCTCAGCTTCCTCGCGCACGAAACGGCAAAGAGCTGTTTAAAGGACTCGGGTGAGAACAAAACACCTCATAGACCAATGACCAAGAGCTGGAACCATAACTACAAGTTTAAAAGCAACTTTAAGAAGCCAGAAGAGCAAACGAAAGTGGGACACTCCAAAATATTTCATGCATCGTTCGGAAAATGCCCTCTCTGCAATAACGATCACGTGCTGATGCAATGTGATAAGTTTATTAACATGGATATTTTGCAACGGAATAAAACAGTAGCGAAATTAAAACTTTGCAAAAATTGTTTGTACAGCCATGGCAACAATAATTGCAACTCAAAGAAAACGTGTCGCGAATGTAACTCAAAACATCATACATTACTGCATACAAAACCCTCTGACTCTGAACCAACTGCAGAAAGGAGGGATGACTCAACCAACTCACGTCCGTCAACATCAACACAACCAGCATCTCACCACGTGAAAACCGAATATACTGAAATCTTACTGACTACAGTCCTGGTCAAAGTTAAATCAGCTGATGGAACTTACGTAACACTACGGGGTCTCCTAGATCAGGGATCTCAGATAAACTTAATAACAGAGAATGCCGCTCAACTATTGCGCTTACCTCGTAAAAAACTGGACGCAGCTGTGACCGGAATAGGTTCTACGTCACGAACTTGTAAAGGGCTCCTACATCTCGAATGTCAATCGATACATTCCAGCTATAAATTCAACGTGCAAGCATTGATCCTACCTAACTTAACAAGTAAGCTGCCTAGCTGTAGCTTCCAAAGTGCTGGCTGGACGCATCTTCAGAATTTAAAGCTGGCCGATCCTAACTACAATGTGTCAAGCTCAATAGATCTACTACTTGGAGCTGACGTTTACGCAGACATTGTTCTAGACGGAGTTCTGAAAGGCGATCAGCAGTCACCTATCGCTCAGCAAACTCATTTGGGATGGATTCTGTGTGGGAAACTCAAAACCTTTAACTGTCACTTCACTTTATTCGATACAACGAATCTGACGAAGTATTGGGAGAGCGAAGACATCGCTCCAAGTATGGAAGACATACAGCGAAGCGATCAATGTGAACTTTACTACCAAGAAACGACCAAACGAGACTCAGATGGCAAATACATAGTAAAAATGCCTATGAACCATAACTATGACAAAGATCTTGGAAGTTCGAAATCAGCTGCTATAGCGCAATTCTTACAACAAGAAAAAAGATTATGTAAAAACGAAAAACTATCAACAATGTACAAAAACTTTATTCGCGAGTACTTAGAATTGCAACATATGAAGCCTGCGGGTCAAATTACATCCAACCAACTTGAATGTTATTTACCTCACCACGGTGTTCTAAGGGAACAATCAACGACTACAAAACTAAGGGTGGTTTTTAACGCGGCACAAAAAACTTCTAGTGGCAAAAGTTTGAACAGCCTCATGGAAAAAGGGCCTAACCTACAAAGGGATATTCAAACCCTTATCATGAAATGGCGAACCTATAAATACGTAATAACTGCTGATATCGAGAAAATGTTTAGATGCATCTGGATATCCGAGGACCAACAGCATCTCCTGAAAATCATATGGAGAAACTCCCCGGATAAGCAACTGCAAGAATATGCCTTAAGGACTGTTACATACGGTACAAAATGCGCGCCATGGTTAGCCATGCGAACTTTAAAACAATTGGCTATCGACGACGGTCACTTATATCCTGACGCAGCAAAAATACTGAAAAACGAGTTCTATGTCGATGACCTAGTTAGCGGCAGCAACTCTCTTGAAACGGCTAGGCAATTACAGAATGACCTTATACAATTATTACAGCGAGGAGGTATGAACCTAAGGAAGTGGTCCAGTAATTGTACCAAATTACTTGAACATCTGCGAGAAGACCAAATCTCTAAAACCAACTTTGATTTTAAACAAGAAGACTGCATGAAAACACTCGGTCTTGGCTGGAACCCGGCATCGGATACATTTACGTTCAACTGGAAACTGGAGAAAAACTCGCAAAAAGTGCTGACTAAGCGAGCCCTACTGTCTCAGATTTCACAACTATACGACCCACTTGGTTGGGTTTCACCGGTCACTATACGAGCCAAGCTAATTTTTCAAAGCGTCTGGATGCAAAACTTAACCTGGGATGAACCGGTACCCAGTGGCATACAAGAAAAGTGGCTGAGACTGAAAGATCAACTGGATGAATTGAAAACAATAACAATAAATCGCTGGATTGGCACCATCCACAACAAAATTGAACTATTTGCATTTTGCGACGCGAGCGAGAAAGCGTATTCATGCGTCATCTATACGCGAGCGCTCAATGAAACCGGAGAACCAAAATTAAGCCTGCTTGCTGCAAAGACTAGGGTTGCCCCGCTCGCAAATAAACTATCTTTGCCAAGACTTGAGCTCAGCGGAGCACTACTTCTATCACAACTAGTATGCAAAATCATCGAGTCGCTAACAGAACACACCATAACTACATGGGCTTGGTGCGATTCAAAAGTGGTGCTGGCTTGGTTGCAAGGAGCGACATCCAAATGGGAAAAGTACGTGGAAAACCGAGTCATCAAGATTAAACAAGTGGTACCAGCATCCAATTGGTTTTACATCGAATCAAAAAACAACCCTGCAGATTGTGCAACCAGGGGGTTATATCCCAAACAATTGGTGAATTTCCACTTATGGTGGAATGGACCTGCAACAATGAGAACGTTTCCAGACAAACCCAAAGAGCAACATAGTTGTCTACTTACAACTACGATGGAACAAAAAAGCACTGCGCCAACCCTAAGTCAACCTGAAAATATAATAATCAACTTAATAAATAATTACAGCAATTTAAACGGCCCTAGGACGCATAATTGAAGTGCATCCCGGCAGCGACGGATATGTCCGAGTAGCAACTATAAAAACGCAAGGTGGCACATTGAAGCGCCCTATTACAAAATTGTCACCGTTGCCAATTGAAACTCGACACTAACTTAATGAATAAATACAAACAACAAGTCACTAAACACTCACTTGCTTATTGAAACCGCGACGTAATACACTAAAATAAATCGAAAAGGGAACAGCATTAAGGTCACCATGTTCACCACACTACCACTCGTTTACTTGATGACCAGCATACACGCCAGTGTCATCCCACAAGAATCGTCAGGTGTTCAAATAACAACTTTAGGAAGTGATCGTCCTATATACTACGACACCATTGGAAAAGTACAGCTGATACACGACGAATGGAGATTGCTGATGTACTACAACTTATCTACCTACTGGAGCGGAGTTCAAAGGTTCGAAAATTATTTACAAGACATTGCGGCTCTCTGCAACAAGTTGGAACCAAGATTTTGTCAAACTACGATTCGTCAACTTTCGCACGAAATGGACATTCTGCACTATTACAACGAGGTACTACTGGCACCACATAAACACTTGTCGTATCGCAGCAAACGAGGCCTGATCGATGGAGTGGGATATGTGGCAAACAGTCTCTTCGGAATTCTGGACCAGAGATTTGCAGACGAATATCATAAAGATATTCAGAATGTGCAGAAGAATGAAGATTACATTTTACGACTTTTAAAGAACCAGACCTCTATAGTTGAAATTGAAAACGATATCTTGAAGAAAAACGAAGACAACATCAATCGACAGTTTACATTAATCAACAATTTTATGAACGAAACTGACATAAGATTAGCAAAGATTGAATCAGGGATAGAGATAGCCATGGCGACGAGCTTCCTCACCTCGACAGCGCTAGCTGCACATTTATTGTTGAAAAACTTAAAATCCATTCAAGAAACCTTTTTCAACACGTTCTTGGACGTCTATAAAGGACGCATGGATGTTCACTTAATATCTCCAGTCAACTTAATTCAACAGCTGACAATTATCTCAGGCAAGCTACCGAAAACTTTAACCTTACCGATAGACAACATACAAGAAGACACAAAAGATATATACAATTTAATTTACGTGAAGGCACGTGTAACAGATACCTACTTCTTGTACGAGCTTCATATTCCACTGGCAAGCGACGAGGATTTTACTGTATACCAAATTATTCCACTGCCCATGAAAAACCCACAAAAACAAGACAAAACGACAGTTATTTCTGTGTCGTTCAAGTACATCGCAGCAAATCTGGAGAAAAATACTTACATCAGACTTAACGAAAATGAACTAAATCGCTGCATCCAGAGGCGACCCGAAAATTTCGTTTGCATTCGAAACTTGCCTATTTTTAGTTTACAAAACGCAAAGGCACCGTGCGAAGCCACACTTCTAGGTCAGCATTCAACCTTGCCATGCATTGCAGAACCAACGCAATGCGAAACTGCCTGGATCGAGTTACACAACACGAACACATGGCTAGTGACATGTTGCAACTCCTGCACAATACGTACTGTATGCCACGATAACGTCAGATCGCACGTCATCAATACGTCATCTATAGTGTCGCTGAAGCAAGGATGTCTGCTGCAAACAAAGGAGCTGAAAATTCACTCCCACAACAATTACGACAGCAACGCTAAATTGGATTACGACATCCAGGTCCCTACCTTGGACAAAACCATAAACAGCATCGTAGATACTCATACAACACCTCTGCTGCAAGTAAAGCCTAACAAAGACATCGCGGTCGTCGAAGAAAGACTGCGGTACTTGAAAAGTATTGAACAACTACCAACCACAATAACAACACACGATATACATCAGTACGTCATTTCCTACGTACTACTGACTGTTATCGGAGTAGCAATAATTGCATGGTTGGCAAAAAGGCGCGGTTATTGTACGAAGAAAACAAATGATGTGAATCATCAGACTCGACATAGTATCACCGACGTCGAAATGCAGTCCAAGAAGCCGCCTGCGAAGAAGGCACGAGATGGGGCCGATCGAATGACGAGCGGCAACCCTCCACCTACAAGGCGGACTTTGGATTCCGACACCGACATTGAATTTAAGTTTTAAGAATCTAAATATTTTGATGTTTTTTGACTTTTATTGTTTTTACTTTTAATGTGTTTTACTTTTACTCTTTATACTATGGGTTACTTTATATACTTTGAATGTTTTGACTTTTACATTTTATACTTTGATAATTTCTTGCTTTGTACTGGTGATTCTTACATGGTCATGGTCTCCTCATCCTTTGCTTGGGTTAGGAGCATGTACGGTCCACGTACATTGACCTTACCGCCATACCGCTGACAACGCGAATCGACAGTTCACCTGTCGCGACTAATATTTCTATATACTTAGTGTGCAACTTACCAACACGTTGAACAGACCTACATGTAGAAATCACCAACCTTTTACAGTGTACGATACTAGTAAATAAACAAATTGGGTTACTACTTGAAGTGTTTTACATGTTGGACACACTCACTAACTAACACGCAACAATCATAGTGTACAGTGCAGGAACTAAACTGTCCCGTACATAATTTGAAATGATAAAAACAATCGTATGTAACGAGTAAGTTATGGTTATCCTTACAAGCTTGTCTTTATTATACCTTTATAAATGAAATAAAAATAATATCAAAATCATCAATTCAATGAACATAGTTTTTAAATGTTAAATTTAACCGAAGAATAAATTGTAAAATATCATTTTAAATTATTAGTAACGACGACAACGAAAACTATTGCTATAAATTTTTTGCATTTAAGTACTGAAATAACTTTAAAAACTACATTTAAGGCAGTAACATAGAAAAAGACTTACATTTTCCTTCAACTTATCCATCAACTGCGACAACTGCGATTGGAACTTAGCGCCGACGGAAATAAAGTTCAATTTTCCTTTGGCATTATTATTGTCAGTGTTCTGGAATAGATGCTGAACCAGTTTGCTGTTGGATTCCTGGACGAGGAACTCTAGGGAGGCGTGGAGAGCGTCGTTGTTTTTCTCAATGAATTGGTTCTGTAAAAGAAGGTGATTATGCTTTGAATTATGATATACTTAGTAAGATGGTGATGTAAATGCTATCAAGTAAAGGCATGGAATATCATGAAATGCCTTCTGCCGCCTTGGGTTGGGTGCGGAGGATAGCTCCATCATTCGCTCCATCTCCTCCTTTGAGAGCATGACGTGTCATGTTGCGCCGTATAGCTCCGCCTCTCTGGCCTCAGCGTGTAGAGGGCAGATCTTTACGGCTCCGTGCCTGTGGTGCCTGGTGTACCGGCGTCGCGTCGCTATGCAGTCACCGCGTAGAGCAGCCAGTTCCCGCGACCACCAATACACCTGGCGCTTGCATCGCTATGACATAAATCCTAGACATGGTATCCTTGACACAAACTGGCTTCCTCGGTAACGTCGGCAATCCTGACCGGTGGTATCACCCAGGCCTGCACGGTTGTGGCTTCCAGGAAGAGTTCGCGGTCTGATCCCAAAGGAGTTATAAGTGCGTTATCGGCCGTTTGGGTATAAGGGTTTCGGATATTTAAGGATCGGGAAGGCATGGTGAGAGTGGGAGAGAGGGAGGAGATTTGACCTTCGGTAACCTCGCTCACACGCCGAAACTCAACGCTATGGTTGTTTCACATCGGTTTTCTGGTAGCATTTTGGTCAAGCCGACCCATTCGTGCCGAAGCATGACTCTCCCACACTTAAAATTAATGATTAAAAATACTTACGGTATTGTAACAGACGGCTCCAGCAAAGTGCCGCAGTAAGAATCCTTCGTCATCACGTAGAGTACGGTGAGCTTTCAGACGAGATGAACGGGGGAGTTGCAATCTGAAACATAAGTACTAGATATTAAGACTGACATTTAAATGACGATATGAAATGCGCATTTTAGTTCTACGTTAACATCATCATCAGTAAAATAACCTTGAGTAATTAGAAGCAAAATTTGAAAATTGAACAATAATATTCAGCTTTATGCTCAAATAATAGAGTACAATTTACCCCAGCAAGCTACACACAATACATATTATATTACCTGTTATTCCTAACACCTAGTTGTTTGTGTACAGAATGTGTGAAATGGCTGAACTCTGGTTTGGGGAGCTTCGACTCTTCATCCAGCAGGTGGAAGATACCGTGGTTCTTGCTTTCAATGAGATCTGAAAGTAAAGTTGTTCGAGTTCAAAATATAAAATATAATAAATGAGTGATATATCCACGAGTAAAATATATTAGGTAACAATTTGCCGATGTTGGTTCTAACGCCGTTCGTTCAGATAAAAGAAAGTACTTTTAAGTATTTTATTAGATTAACCCAGACGCTATGGCTTGTTTGGTTTCACTTTTAATTTCCAACATGAATACCTAAAATGAGCTGTTTTTTTCTTGAAGGGCGGGGAATGCTATGAAAAATTTATGACTATTCCTGCTATGATCTCTCTACGGCGCGCCGTAAGCTCAGGTCTGGTTCTGGTCGGGCGGCGAGCTAGGCTTACTTGCCGTCCGATACGGTGGCCGGAGATCGTTGATCGATTCTTGTCGCCCGGAATGTTGCCTACGCCTCCACCTCCTTCTTTGCGAGCATTACTGCTTCTCATCAAGAAATATGATGCAGATGAATTTTTAATCCCAAAAAACAAGACAACTTACCAATACAATCCTGGTTGTCAACGAATCTGATTTCCGGCACATTAAGTCCCTCACGCTTGTAGAGTTCCTGTTCATTCTTGAGGATACGCTCGTTGAAGAACTGCTGTAACTTCTCATTGCAGTAGTTGATGCAGAACTGCTCGAAGCTGTTCATTTGGAAGTATTCTGGAGAAGATGGAACAATGGTACTCAATTTATGTAAAAGGAGGAATATTACTTTAACATTAAATAATTGATATGTTAGCAAAATAGGTCTGATCTCTATACCCTCATGCTAGTAATGTATTTATAACACATCTGTTGTTGCCAATTAATGATGATCTGTTTATTTAAAGAACTATCCTGGCAATTGTTTACCATCAGTCTGCTTATTTAAATGGCTACCCAATTAAAAAGCCCATTATACCTAATAAGCTAATGATAAATAGTATATTTGCCAATTAGTGAGGTACTGTTTCATGATTTATTTGAACTAAATCATCTAATTGGTTTCCATAATTTAGTCGATAAATATTACCACCATACAAAAAAAAAACTGTAAATACTTCCAAAGACAAATACAACAGATCCGTAAAACTGTAATAGAATTTCAATCGTATACTTTTACAATAAAGTTCATATTGACTTGTCCACTTACCGAATCCAGCAATATCGAGTACACCAATGTAGTAGGCGGAGGCTTGGAAGGGAATACTGGTGTTGATGCGATGTACGATGTAGTCGAAGAGTCGGCTGTAGACTGCCTTAGCGAGCGCGTCACGGGCGTTGTTGGCCTCGTGCGTCTTAAGAGGGACCCTAGAAGTAAAGTCATAATGAATGAATATGAGCAATTTACAAAACATAGACTTTTTTAACATTAGTTTATTAGATTAAATTCAGTCTAGGAATATTTTTTGTAAATTATATTATATGGGGGAACACTGTCTTATCTTTATTCCTTACAAGGCAAGTCATTTATAAAGATAAGAAATAAAAAGGGCCGCGGTTTGAATTCGTCCGGCGCCGATTGCTTACCATCAGTCTGCTCGTTTGCCGCCCTATCATGTAAATAGCTACTCTCGCGCGGTTTCTCCCGCTGCTTGGCTTCATTTGATTGTAGCGTGATGTTTTCTAGCATATAGCACTCACGAGCATCGTAGCTAGTCAATGAAAGAATTGTGGCAATCCGACCAGCGGTTCTAAAGATTACTCCCTACTTACAAAATTTATTTTTTTATATTAGTATAGATAATAATAATGATATAAGAAGGTCTAGAGAGGCCCCTTAGTCTGTAATGGGATAGCTTTCTGATCAATGTATTAAGAAGGACACAATCGAATGTCTTGGATAAGTCGAAAGAAAATGTTGTAGAGGTGAAGGGGGCTAGAGTCCGTAACAGAATGCGGCTTACATGATGGCGGTGCCCTTGGCCCCGCCGCGACTGCTCTGCATGAGGCGCGAGACGAGCGCCATGCGCAGGTCGGCGGGGTCGACGGCGAGCGCGGCGGCGGCGGCGCGCAGCGCGGGCTCGGCGGCGGGCGCCACGCGGCAGCCCCCGCGCGCGCCCCCCTCCTCCTCGAAGTGCACGTTGCCCAGGTGCAGCACGCCGCCCACCACGCCGTACACGCTCAGCCGCTCCTCCTCCGACAGGCCCACGCGCGCCAGCGCCTGCGTGCCACACAGAATATGACATCAAATTATTAAAATAAAGAAGAAAATTAGAGAAGAATAAGAATAAGAAGAATTCCGAAAAAAACCCTTTTTTTATTCAAAACAATGACTCACGTTAATCAACTGAGAAAAACTACTAGTAATGACATTTATTCGCATAAACGCTAAACTAAGTCGTTATCTTCAATAAATGCAGTAGATCTAAAATATCCATGTTTCAAAAAATCCACAATTTAATTGCACCTTTATTTAAATAGAAAATTATTTTTCTAAATAGACTATAGCAATTAAACAACATTATACATAAACCGTCACAATTTTCCAATATTACTATACCCACTTACAGTAAACTAATTTTTAAACTTACAGTAAACTAATTTTTAAGGTAACAACAAGGTCATATAAGTAATTCTACCGCAAATAAAAGAATATCATTACCTGGTGAAGCCTCTGAAAGTCCTCGACATCATCAAGTATGGGGTCCCTGAGACCGCCTTTAGCTTGCTGCTGTTTACTCTTGCGGTCAGCACTAATCTTCTTCTCAGAATTCGGTGACGTAAAATATTGTGTGCATCCATTCTTCAAATACTGGAGGACAAAAACATATTATTAATTTATTTTCACTAGAAAACAGCTTACGCTCTTCAAAATTATGAACAGATCTTTTTTTCTTGTAGGTACTATATTAATCAATGCGTTTTTGCAACGATGATTGAATTCTATGAACATAGCATATAATTATTAAAGTATTTGCCAAGACACCAGCTTAGTAACTTTGTAAACCATCGATTTGCTTTAACATTTAATCCACGATTTAATCTTATCTTGTCTACAAAATAATTGTAAAAAATATCATTTTGAAAAAACATTTGGTGTACTTTCGGCGAATTAATTCACAAAGATAAAGTATACATTAGGTAAATACCTAATTTCATGTATATCAAACACCAAAATTATATATACAAATAAAACTTACCAAATAATCATCAGGTTTAGTGATATTTAATATAGCGCGGAGTTCGTCAGGTGCGCCGGCGCATAAAAGGTAGAATACATGGTAGTTTCTTTCTTCTGCACTCTGGGTGCATATTCTAGACTTTTCTAGAAGGTAGTGGGAGATGTGACCGCCCACAACTTGGTATTTGCTGTCGAAATGCACCTCCATAAACTTGCCGAAACGGGAACTGTTGTTATTGCGTGTCGTTTTCGCGTTACCGAACGCTTCTAAGATCGGGTTGGCTGTAGAAGAATACAAACGATGTCATTAAAATGCTTACTAAAATGAAGGCGGTACGTATTAACTTAGCCTAGAGTAATTGAACTACATTAAAATGGATAATATATTGTTCCCTAATTTGAATCTTCTCCTTCCGAATTCTTGAATGACAGATTGCCTAGTTAGGCACTAGTCAAATAGTTTTTGGACTTATATCTATTGAGAACTGTTATTTGTCATGATCTTTAGATTCAATTGTTTAATTAATATGCTGATAACAAAATAAAAAGTCTTCCATGTATTCCAAAGGTCCAGGGTTAATTTAACAAGAATTATTTTTAGACAAAAAAAAACATTCAAACATAACGGTGGTAACATTACAGTAATATCATACATTAATTAGCATTAATAATTACACTTGTTCATTGAACATAAAGCGTAAAATGATATACATATAGCAATTATACTCGTTTATTGTTATGTACTCATGTAGCTGGCGTATGATCAAAACAGTGCAACGGTAACACAAGGTCGAATCGTCTTCTATTTAATAACATAACACAAACGACCTTCATCGGAATCTCCAGTTTAATGAAAATAAAAGTAGATTAACTGGTTTAGCTAAGAATGCAATATTAGTTTCTAGTTTGTTTTGATAAAAATCTATCTTTGAAAGAAGATTTTAAGATGTTGCAAAAATCGATATTTAAAAATATATCCTTCTAGTTATCTAAATCTTCCTCTTAACATTAACAAACAAAACAAAAAAGGAATTGATATAGGTAGGCGTTGTTGAGTTATGCGCTTACTAATACATTTTGCGATTCATTTTTAAATACATAATGATTAGAGTCAAGTATCCACTTCGAACCACATAGTATAGTCTTATTTGTATAAACCGTGCGCCCCGCAAAGGTTAATCATATACTTAGAAAGAACTTTAGATAAATGTATGTATGTATGTATGTATGTATTTAGATCACAGACGTAAAGAATAAAACCATTCAAGCCATAGATGGGAGAAAATAAGCTAAGGTAGGTACTTTGGTTGAAATGGGGCATTGTCTACTTTATTATTTGGTCTTCAGGTACCTAAGGAACTACAAATATAAATTGTAGCCTATAAGACTTCCTTTGTCGAAAGATGACCACAGTTTCTCAATAATGACATTACCTTTGTTCTAAAAATGCCCTATACGAGAATTTTCTTCAGAGTCATAAGTCATGGACACGTTTACCAACCTACAAGTTCACATACACATCACACCTGGATCTGGAACAACAATCTTTGGAACGTTGTTCCGGATGAGGATTGAGCCCGTGAGACGTCGCAATTGCAGTCGGTTGCCCAGACTATTCGCCATCGCCAACAGTCTGACACAACCAAGTTTTTCGCAAATAAATTGACCCTTACTACAAGCGGCTTATGACACAAACAGCGGGGAATAACGGTGATAATTTCAATATGCGTATGATTTCATAAAACATTCAGCAGTTTCGGAGAATAGCACAAATAAATGATATGAAATCACAGTAATATCTGGAATTGATTATGTATCTATGTCAATGATATTGGTTTCGTTTGGTATTATTATTATTCTAAACTAATAATATTGCAAAATCGGTTGCATTATAATTTATAATATTTATTTATATAATTTAAATATTCTGTCTTAGATCAGCTGCTTGTCGGGACAGGTTTTAGGAACTTGAATGTATATTTTACAATGTAGGCGATTAGTTTGTAAATGCAATTATTACTGAGTATGCGTAATAAGCACGATGATAGCTGAATTTTAATGCGAATATTAAACAAAGTGTGGGAGAGCCATGCTTCGGCACGAATGGGTCGGCTCGACCGGAGTGATACCACGGCCTCACAGAAAACCGGCGTGAAACACACACAGTGTTGTGATTCGCCGTGTGAGTGAGGTTACCGGAGGCCCAATCCTTCCCCTTCCCAATCCCTCCCCAGTTCCTAAATCTCCAAATCCCTAAGCCCTAAAAGGTCGGCAACGCACTCGTAGCTCCTCCGTTGCGGGTGTCCATGGCCGGCGCTGATGGCTTACCATCAGGTAATCCGTCTGCTCGTTTGCCGACATATTACATAAAATAAAAAAAATGTAAACAAAACTGAGTGTGTTGTTTTGTTGTAAGACTGCTGAGCAAAGGCCTCTTCTCATACAGATAATGAATGAGTACCTATCAATCAGCGCGCTTGCTCAGAGCGTCGCGAATTTATACTATTATCAGAAAATATAAGTCCAGGTCTCCTCACATTGTTATTCTACACCGTATGCTAATGCTGTCTAAATCACCTTAAAAAGTAGATATGACTCGGAAAGACCGTTGGTGCTTGCTAATCTTTATAATGACTGGATCGATTTTGACCGGTCTTTTATTGGTAGGTGGCTGATGTAAAAGGAGTAACTTAACCTCTTGCCTGCCGGTATATGACAAACAATTGAAAACACATTGTCTCGCGTGGATCTGCGCTCCGTATAACGGGTCAAGCTACTTTTATTTAGGAACAATTCTTTTAATTGTATATCTAAGTGTGGGAGAGCCATGCTTCGGCACAAGGGTCAGCTCGACCGGAGTGCTACCACGGCCTCACAGAAAAACGGCAAACAACCTCAGCGTTGTGTTTCGTCGTGTGAGTGAGGTTACCGGAGGCCCAATCCTTCCCCACCCCCAATCCCTCCTCAATCCCTAAATCTCCAAATCCCTAATTCCCAAAGGTCGGGAGGTAAACTCACTCGTAACTCTTCCGTTGCGGGTGTCCATGGGCGACCCTGATTACTTACCATCAGGTAATCTGTCTGCTCGTTTGCCGATCTATTACATAAAAAAATCTAAAGAATATACTTAGTGTTCCTACACAATAGCGATGATAAAATTGTACGCGGACGAAGTTTACATATACCTATGTATGTGTGTGTATTCTCTTTGAGGTATAAGCTATAGTCGTACTATGTGATAAACTTACCATCCAGAATCTTCTGTTCAACGGGCCCAGCGGCCTTGGCCCACAGTTCACACAGGTACTTGAGTATGTATTTCGTGGACTCCGTCTTACCAGCACCAGACTCGCCGGACACGATGATAGACTGAGACATCTTGAGGGATTTCATGTCACGGAAGGCTTTATCGGCTGTTGACAAATGGAAAAATTTAGATGTAACAGTATTTATATGATAATTAGCCGTAAGTTAGTAGTCTAAAGTAGCAACATCAAAAAACAACACATATCAATGATCTGGCTGCTAGCCTTAAGGGCTCTGGAAGTATACCTAATATACACAAGACTGAGAAGGAATGGCGTTCCAAATCTTATAATGCGATTCCCCAAAGAATTATGAGAGTAGTCAATGGACGACTCCCCTTGCTCAACTTGACAAATTTTCAGACATAGCTCAAACAACGGAATAGAATGTCTATGACAGATTGCTGTGCTTAGCAGGATATACAGAAAAAAAAATTAGGCGTGAGGTTTCAAGGGCTAAAGGCTGAGGAAATAAATGGGTACCTATTGTAACTAACCTATGAGGCCATACTTTATTCTGAAATCGTGATCAATAGAGATAAAGTAACTTAATCTTGTACGTACATTATGATTTCTTTTGATATAGTTTTTTTTGCACATTGCCCCATATTAGCCTTTTCACCAGTGTCGTTTACAAACATAACATTTTACATACGCATTACACACAGATAATATTTTTTTGTAAATGTGCTGTTCAATGCACCTTTTATCCGGTTGCCCAACCTCCGCGTTAATCGTGCAGTCAATAAAAAAATGTGAAATATAGGAAACCATCTGATTCTATACTTATACAGAAGAAAGGTCCATTAAAAGAAAATGGAGTACTCAATATGCCTGTCGTAGAACAAATACATAATTCAAGTTGCAAAGTGTATACTTAATACAAGTTAATGCTCTCGAACTAAGTCATGAAGGGAAATACATTAGAAACTTTTAGTTTTCTTTGAATTTCAAGTTTAAGTAATTAATTTGGAGAATATTTATAACAGTAATAGTTTAACACAAATCTTGTACAAATGGTATGCAGCTTAACCAGCTTTTAAAATCTCTTTATATACTGAACTTTTAACTTTTCTGATTTTCAAAACAAAGTTAAAAGTTAGTTCGTTCAAGTTAAAGTAGAAAATATTTTTTTTAGTTCTGGTGGTTGAAGTAAATTTTTGTATAGGCATGGTTTCTTAGAAAAATTGCATAAATGAATCTGTGGCTCCGGATTATAATAATATCTGGAATCTTGTTCTGCAGCAGAAACTAGACAAGAAGAAATCCGTGATATGATTCGGATTACGATGGCATAGTCTAAGTAAAACTAAAAAATATTAAAGTGTATGTGTAATTCGCGTATATACCTGGAACCGATCTGTTTATAATTAAAAATTCTACATGCAGTAAAAATACTTCAGCTATAGAGAGAACCATTAAGATGATTTCTTCGATAATAAACTTTATCTTAAACGAATAAAATTTAATTTAGAATAATTACAATCTTACCGATGGCAAAGACATGAGGCGGCAGTTCTCCAAGGGACTTTCCTTGGTACTTCTTGATGGTGTTTGAGGAATACATGTCTGGAATGTCTTCGTAGGGGTTCACAGCCAATAGGATGTTGGCTACGTATGTCTGCAATGTACAAAAAACATTTTCAATAGCTTTCTACATATATCACGACCTTGGATAATTAAAGGTATGGATCGATGTTTGTAGCTTAACTAGCTATAGTGAGCACTTCAAATAATAAGAGGTAGTCTTTAGTCTGGCTGAAGTGACACATAGTTACTGTGAGCGAAGCCGCTTGCAAAAACTTGTAGGATATTATGTTCGTTAAGACTCTGTCTACTATCCAGCGGCGACGGTACTTTTCAAGTTCCAGACAAACAGACAGACAGATAGAGGTATATTGTTGACAGTTACAGCGTTGTGTTTCGATGTGTGAGTGAGGTTACCGAAAGCCCAATACTTCCCCTCCCCCAATCCCTTCTCAATTCCTAAATCTCACAATCCCTAATCCCTAAAAAGTCGGCAACGCACTCGTAACTCCTCCGTTGCGAGTGTCTATGGGCGGCGCTGATTGCTTACCATCATGTAATCAGTCTGCTCGTTTGCCGACCTATCACATAAAAAAAGTTATATTTTTAGAATTCCATGATCGAGACTATTGGCAAATTGAGAAGGAAGTATTAGTTTTAGAACATGTTAGCAATGAATGTATACATATACACAAGTTCAATTGACAAGTTCAGTATAACATTTGCCATTACTTAGTTACTATTGTTATATTCACAATTTGTACTTTAACTGTACAAATCAACGGAGATTTTAAGATCTCTCTACATAATCTCCAAGACTAAAACACTTTAGGTATTTGTTACAAAGTTATTGGTTACATAATCCATTGTAAGTACAAAAAGGAATAAAATTCAGTACATTCATAACAATAAAAGGTAATCAGTAATTTGTATAGTAATCTTCGGTGAATACGGGCGATAGTAAAAGTCATTTGACAAGGAAAACCAACGGAATCGATACTCGTACCTACATAATTCTCTACGGTGACTACGTAGTTATAGGTATTAGGTATGTATGTATAATAATATTTTTCAAGGTGAAAACATTCAGGCGTTTGAAATGAGTCATTGTAAGCAATGTTTACTTACGTATATCTTGTTCTTCTTGTATCGGATTAGGATGTTGTTTAGTAGTGTAGCTTCGTTGAGGAACATCAGCTCGCCTGAAAGAATTTGGTGCTGTTAGATCAAAGTTATGCACACATCATCAGCCTATAAATGTCCACTGCTTAGCCGCCTGTTCTGGTCCATCATTTGCAAGTTATGCAAAATACACAATCAAATCGATACTATAGACAGATTTTGTTACTTTTTTTTGTTTAAGATTACATTGACCTTTGTTTATTTATTTAGAAATATGTTTTTCATTAAAGTATTTTCGGTTTTTGTAGATGTTTTGTAAACCTATCGTCATATCACCTATCTATTCACACGCAAATAAAATCATACCTTTAAAAAAAAACAAGAAAAAAGAATAAGTAAGTAAGCTAAAACTAGAAGTACAAGTTGCAAGTTAAAGTCAGTAAATAACGAACGAAATTACTATAAAACTTCAGTCAGAACCTTAAACATTAAACTTACCATGATTGCTATTGAAATTCTCCGTATAATGATAGTGCAAAGCACTAGAATATTAAAAAAAGACGATGACGAGTTCAGGGTAATTTTCTACCCTGAACTCGTTCTAAACAGGTTGGATTTTATCTCAGGAACTATGTATTACTGAGATCTCTTGCTCAGTCTTAAGAAATTATTGGTTTAGCCCCAGGACCGGTAATATTATAAGTCTCTTACATTTTGCACCTGTCGTCTTTATGTTATAATCATGTTGACTATTGGAGTTACGTCTAAATATACATTTACATGTATTAAGATCCTTTTACTGATAAGATCTTTGCAGTATTGGATTATAACACAACAAAAGGACAGCAAGACCTTTTTTGGAAGTATAATTCTGAGAAGAAATTCTATTTATCATCTGTCACGTCATAATTTGAATTCTGTCGCGGTCGATCTGTATACAAGTCGAAACACTGCTTAATCAAAAATTGCTCGATAGATTTCGACCATGGAGGCATTCTGTCTAGACCACTACGCAGTTGATCTTACTAATATTATAAATTGCGAAAATAACGATATTTGGATGTTCGTTACTCAATCACGTCAATACGGCTGGACGGATCTGGATTAAATTGGTACAGGCATAGAATACACTGCAGAATAGGACATAGGCTACTTTTTATCAAGATACCACGCGGGTGAAGCCGCGGGCGGAAGCTAGTATAACATAAATACAGGAGAACTCTCTCTTTCATTTCCTATTAAACCAGAAAAATGGATAAGCAGTTTTTTTCTAACGCCGGGATCCAAATACATCGTATTATTTTCATTGCAGCGACTGGGTAACCGATCCAGCAGTTACATGAATTTAAAATAAATATACCAAGGTATACTTACAGTTATCATCAACATCCTTAGCAGGATCTCCGGCGGGGAATATATCCTCAAAGTTGCAGACTCGCTTGGGGTATTTGTTGTCGATGGGGAACACGTCTGCTTCCTCCCCCATCAGCTCGTGTAGCCGGGCGAGGATAAACCCCTCGTTGGGGTCCCTCACCCATACCAGTTGCTTATCCATCGTCATTGTTTACTGGTAAGAAAAAGATAAAAGATAAGTTGTAAGTTTGTACGTAAATGATTTTTATATTGAGGAAAATCTTTCCATATCTTTTTCCGCGTTGGGGCGAGAGGGCGTGTCGGACTCTTACTGATTAAAACCCAGTTCTACCTACTCCGAGCAATCTGCTGTACGGGATTGTATGTTATTAAATGTGCATTTGTTTATTTCAAAATTATGTTAAATTAAGTAAGTATTTTATTTTAACGTATTATTCTCTAGAATGTGTGATCCTAAAATTAATGAGCTATTGTTTCTAAAAACATATTCGAATAGGTCTAGTCGTTTTCGAGAATATCGAGTTCGAGACTTAACATATAATCATCAACTTAAAGTCTATATTTGCGGAAAAAGCATAATAATTCTGACAATGATACAATAATAAATATTCATAATTTCCTTCATAGTAACAGTTTTAGTAGAGCATTTCATTTCAAATATACGGAAAATACTTGGACTCAATTACAAATCTCTAGGTAACGTCTAAGCATTCTCTATTTGGGCAGACCCTGAAAATACAACAGAGGATACTAATCGCGCGCATATCATAAAATATTAAACACGGCAGACACAAAGATTGACAGAGCATCAACAACTTGTGCATTCATAACACAAGCATTCCCATAACGCGTCTAATTATAACTGACAGGAGGAAGCATTTAGTAGGCATAACAACATCAATTATGTAAGTGAACAAGATGTTGAACATGTAATTGCTTTAATTCCTTCATAAACTAAGAATATGATTAACTCACTTTCGGAGCAGTAACGCGTACTGTAACACTTTCATATGTATTACGTAATTATGTTTATAATGAAAAATATAACAATGGTTGCGCAGCTGTTCCGGTAGATGACGCCCGGAAGCAAAAAAATTGTTCCATCTATCACAATATTTAAATAGAATTTAGCGGAACGACTGAGTGATATAACACGACATTTTATTGAGAAAAACAGCGTTAAAGTGTAAGTCCGTTTTTTATTTGTTGGATAAGTAGAACGTCACCAAATATAAATCCGATTACTGTATTATATTTTTCAGAAACCACAATAATTGAGAATGGAAACTACAAGTGAAAACAACGGCATAAACATTAAATCGTATTTTTACACCTTTAACGCATTATTATCATTAAACAAAAGTTAAATAGCAATACAACTTATTGTGCTTAGCCCTAAAATAAAACATAGCCTAACTATACAATGCTAATTTCCGCGATGCAGACTTAACGGAAAGGTCATGGGACTCAGCACCAAGCAAGGCCTTTTTGCTTCTTACAAAAGGGAACCGAAATATCAACCGTTATGCTAAGGAGCACCAGACATTGATACGGCATGAAATAGGCTTTACGTCGGTGAGAGGATTACAAACGGTCGAGTAATCTTTTAAATTAGTTGAACGGAACTGCATTGAATAAGATTTTTTGTTTATATTTTACTCCGTTACGGTTCAGGGAGTTCTCCCTAAATAAAATAAACAGAAATTCTCGCGTTGAAATTGCTTAATACTATTGAGACATTTTAGATTCATACACTCATAGTCATATGAGGGGTATTACCAAACAAGATTTATCTTTAGGTTTAAACTACTAAGTCAGGTTTTGTATTTTGAATCTTATTTTCAACTCCCTTAAATTCGAAATACAAATACTGGCACAATTGTTTAGACCAAGACTAGAGAAAAACTGTCTACTCTGTCGTATTGGTAAAAAAATCTGATCTAACACTACAACTTACTTACGATTAGCATAGCTTCATTCAATTAATTGTTCTACTTGTTAAATTACTTCGTATCCAATGAGAGGGAACTAATGTTTGAGGAAGATCACACTGATAGCGAGGCTAGACAAAATATTTTCGCTTTTTCACGGTCAGAGATACCAGAGCGACCAACTGTGAAATGGTATTCTTGAAATTTCATGCTTCTATTCATAAAATTCTCTCGGAACAAAAAGATTTTTAAACGAAATCGTATTGCTGTGACCAGTGCTAAGCTGGATTATAATTCGGTTTAGATTTTGAACCTTATGAAGTTCACATAGAATATTTAATAGGTCAGGGGGCGAATATGATTGAGAGTAGTTACATTAGGTAGTTATACACGGTGAAAGTCAGATAAAATTAATCCAGCTTATCGGAAATGATGGAATAGATAAATGTTTGCTTTCTGTGACAGTGTAGTAACCTGACACTTTGTCAAAAACGAGGGTATCCGGGCAAAGGTTTGTTGTTAGCTAGCATAAATACTTTTTGATACAATCCTCTTTTAAAGGAAGATTGTACTTGAGGAAATCTTGTATTGCGTCGATTTAAGTTCTTGTTCATTTTGGAAAATCCAGTCTAGTATAGGCGTAGGTAAGTCAACCTATTCATCAGTAGTGTAAACATTGTTAGTAAAAACTTCTAAACAAGTTTACTAAAGAAGGCTTGAGAGAAAAGAGTTATCAAGCTGGTAAACAATGGGCTATAATGACTGATACTTTACCTTTTTTTATAGAACTACATAGTTGATGCATGAAAAGACAGCACCATAAAGCATTATGACACGCACAATAATGAGTAACCAACAGCCATAATTTAAAAAAAGTTTAAAACAAAAACTTGTGTGTGTGAGATTCAGAAAAAGTAGAGCTCGTGGCTACGGATATGGGTCGATAAAATTATTTTACTACTACTAAATTAACAAAAAACAAACTATTGTGAGGTTTAACTAGTTACTAACAAAAATATGAATGCTGGAAAACTTCTGGGAAATAAATACTAACATTTAGCCACTAACAGTGATAACAGAAGTACGCAACATATTGAAAATAGGAGTTGTTGTAAAATGTCAAACGAATATACATAATATGTTAAATATCCTACTTAGGCGTCTATTACACTAGGAATGGACAAAAACATTCACTGTAATGTTAATCCCATACTATAAAAGACTCTAAGTTTGTACATTGGTGACTAAACCAAAAGGCAAGAAAATTAGACATTTGGTTAGAAATGGCACAAGAAGAGATCACTAAGATATTTTCTTACTCCGATTTTTAGTAGCAAAACACATACATAAAATTCTAAATTATATCATTCACAAAATTCCAAAAGCAATATTCTTTCTCGTTCACAGTAATCATCATGTGGTAGATACCAATGACACCTACATTTTTATCAGAACCATCGAAATACCGATAAACATGAGACAATCGCTTGATTGAGGTAAAAATAATACAGATATTAGATGACTAATATTGAATAACACATCGTTTGTGTTATAAAAAAGGTCACTGCACTTACGATAAAGTACACACCTAAAGCAGAATATTAAAAAAAAACAACGAGGATAGCAGTTACAATACAATATTTCTTACGTCTAAGTAACTTTTTAATAAATAAACAACACAAGCACAGCATGAAAGTGAAACTGAGTCGTAATTTTGGTCATTGAATTTCCCCAAGTAAAATCGCTGCTCGTTCCGTCCGAGGCTCAGAAAATTATTCAAATCCATTAGAAGAAAAGCGCAAAACGTATGAATAAGCACAATGCTGTAGCGTAAATAAACGGATGCAAATTATGCAGCCCAACGAGAGGAACAGAACAAGAAAATCGTACGAAAGCGTGATTTTGACTGTCACGCCGAAGAATCGAGGTTAAACCACCGATGATGGCTACGATAACGACAAAACACAAATATCTCTAAAAATTTATTATTCAAACATAAAATTGCAGAATAATTTAATTATTCTAAGTAAGCATAACACAAAGCTAATCCTTTAAAACGTGTTGGTTGTAAAACAGTAGATAAAGAAGCAAGATTGGGTTGGCAAGAAATTTCAAAGGTACTAACCTTCGTTAATGAAGAATATTATAACGAAAATATTCACTGGCACAATGTAAGAAAAAACATGAATGATGAACACGGATATTAAACAGTCACAGTGGACACTTTGCAATTAACCTCTATACAAAAAACTCTTTGACTTCGTTTATTGCTTTGTTAATCTTATCGATTTGATATCAAAACAATATCTATTGGTGCGATACGTTGAAACTTTGAAAGCGAACGCTATCAATTGAATGATCATTGTATTGTAATCACTGACGATGAGATGTCACTGTGTGTATAAATCGTTCGACCTTCATAGAAAGTTAAATCAATTTCATTTGTTTTTGCAAGTATAGGTACGTCTTTTCTAGTATCAGTACAGAATGTGGCTCCTAAGCCTTTATTATTAATCGTGTGTACTTAATGAGTCATCGATTGTAACAAACACATGTTTTACACTTGTAATCGATAGAACAGACGCTTGGTATGACCATGTTCAATAAGTTTTTCTTTGATGTCTGTTTATTTTCAACATCGACATCCAATTAACAATTTTAGACGGCTGTTATTCAGTAACATCTTCTTAACTTTATTATTCATTTGTCATACATTCAAATGGCGTGTCCGGATATGTTTAATTAATTTGAGATTTGATCAGAAAATAGGCAATAAGTTCGATGACATTTGGGTTTACCATAAAATTTTTGCCAGAGTTCAGTTCACACATTTCAATGCGAGTATACAGTTATGCGTAGTGGATAGCATTGTCGATTGGCCATTGTACAAACAATAATGTCCGAAATCTCCCGCCGTTCTGTAGTACAAGACGTAAAATGATGTGAATCGTACATTGTTCTCCCAACAATGAGCCAAATGCATTCTTTGGCGCAACAACATTGCATGTTCACATGAACTGGTAATTAAATTATCTCGTTTAGCCTTGATACTTTAGACTTGCAAGAATTAAATCTAGCAAACTTGTAATAATACTTAATTATTATCTCACAGTTACTACTTGGATTAGAAATCTTCGTTTCTTGGAAGGTCACGGATTGGAATTAAAACGCACTAATTAACAACTGCAGAACTAAACTTTAGTAGATTTCACGACCTTCGTGGTGATATAAATTACCAACGATCAGTTTTTTCTCTTCACTG